ACTCGTCTTTGCACTGGCATCAGCTCACCTGTGCCCACCTCTGTGGCCACGCGGCACACCCTGCAGGGCCGGGGCTGCTCGAGGTTATCGGCCCCGACAAGACTCTGCCTTCGAAACTGGCAGATAACCGCCCAGTCACGCACAGGCACCTCCATACACGGAGGACCAGCCTGCCTGTGCTCTGGGGATTCCAGGCAGTCTGAGCGAGAGGCCCTGCTGACGTCACCCGCCTTCCAGCAGAAGGGCAAACGGAATTACCCAACACACTTCCCATTCACGGGGGACGGTACACCAAGGCCCAGGCCCCTCCCCCAACCCCGCCCGCAGCCCACCAACGCCCGCTGGACTCCGAGGCAATTAGCCGAAGCTTCAGGCTCCCTGCCTGTGACTCGCCCATTTAACAGAAACCGTTATCACATGCTTCCCGTAAACAGGCCGCTGCATTGATGGTAAAGCACAGAGGCCTGAGCGATGACCTCAGAGCTGGCACAGAGCGGGCACAGAGACTGACGCTCAGTGCCCATCTGCGGCTCAGCCTCTCCCCTCCCTGCCAATGCCGGCAGCACGAGGCTGAGCGTGTGCGACCCCCACGTGCCCCCACCTGCCCCCAGCCACGGACGAAGGGCAGGGGAGCCTGGGGAGTGAGATGAGAGCTGCTTGCTGGGTCCCCCACCAGACCCGACATGGGTGCTACAAGCCTCCTTGGCAGGCAGACTCCCAGGCCCTCCTGTGTGCCTGGGCTGGCCTGCATCAGAAGGATGGTTCTGTGGGGGCAGCCGGGGGCGGGGGCGGGCCTGGCGCCTTCTGAACTCAGGGACAAGAGACAGGTGCACCCGGCCATTGCTCTGACTCAGCACCGCCCAGCATCCTTCCGGGACTTGGGAGCCCCGTTCCCGGCCCGGGCCCCGCTGGCCGGGGCAGACCGCCTGGCTTTCCAGCGGCTCCCCCTGCCCCCACCTCCCAGGAGACAGACCTGCTGCTCCAAGGACGGCCGCGGCCGCAGCTGGGCACTCAGAATTTATCGGCTGGAAAAGAACCAGTTAGCAGCCCTGCTAGAAGTCAGCACTGACATCCCAGACCCTGGAGCCGCGCCCGTGCCCATCCGTGTCCTCGCTGCGCTCTGAGCAGGGCACGCGACGGTGCTGCTGGGGCGTTCGGCCGCGGTCACGGTCACGCTCCCGTACAGAGCCCAGGGCAGCAGGACTCAGGTCACGGGAAGACCACCACCTCACTCGCCTCCACTGTGACCCCTCCTGCCATGCTTCTGAACCTGAGGCTTTGCTGCCAGTGGGGGTCCCCTCACCCTCGGCCACCATGGGGGGAGCCCCCCAAAGACAAGTGGCTGCTCGTGTCTGTGGACGACGGGGGCCATGCAGACACAAGCCCAGGCCTGTCCTAGCCACTGAGACCAGGCTGGGTCAACAGCCACAGTGGGAAGCTTTGCACACAACCCCCCCACCCCCAGCCCCGCAGCTGGCAGACCGCAACTCCGCAAAGGGCCTCTTTCACAAAGCGCACACACCCAGCAGGTTTCTCAGCTTCTCTTGGAAAAGGCCAGTTCATCCCTGAACCGAACCCAGAATATTGACAGGAAGTTTCTAGATAAACTCACTCAGGAAAGCTCCGTATTTACAAGGACTGCCTCCCCACAAAGAAGGGTGGGACAAGGAAAGTTAATGACCCTTAGATGTGGTTTGGGGGTGCAGACAAGAGAGTTCTTCACGGGGTGCACGGCCACGCGTGGGGATCCCCGTCCATCTGGCAACACCACCCACCCAACGATCCATTCTTCCCCAGGATGGAAAACACAGTGCGTCCAAGGAGACCCGGAGGGGCCTGGTCAGGCCCCCGCACCCCACGCCTGGACCTCTCCCCTTAGCCCAGTCACTGGGGATCAGGAAGAAAGTTCTAACACAGCATGAAACACAAGTACTGAGACTTCTGATGAAAATGAAGACCATTATTCCAAGATATTTCACATTCTTAGAGTTAACTCTTTCTTGGAAAGTTTTCCCCTAAGGAAAAGCAAAGACATTTAGAAATCCTAAACACCTTCCATGGAGAAAAACCACAATTGTGCTTAAAAGACCGCCTTAAAGAAAATAAAAGGAAGCATGAGAGCCTGCAAATAACTATTGTATACATCAGGTTGGTCTGGTTTGTCATTCAACTTAGGTAGCTATTCATGATTCAGACATCAAAAATTGTAAGCGTCATATAAGAATATTTTAAAGCATTTCCAAATGCTTTTCAGAACTACAAGAACAACGAGTATTTTTGGTTTCAGAATGTTTTCCGTTGCATTGTGATGAACAAGAAGCTCAGTGTTCAGTTTTAAACCAAAGCAGGGATTAAATCAAGAATTCAGTTTGAATTGCATATCTATCCAAATACAACGGTGGAAAAAACCCTCACGACAGGCAGCAACCTCTCTCAGACACACCTCCCCACACCTAGCATTTAACACTTCAGCTCTTCCAGGCCCAGAAACCTCCCAGAACTGACTCCTGCTCACTCGTGCCAAAGGGAGGGGAAGCGTGGTCAGTCTCACAATCTAAGGCCAAAACAGGAGCTTCGGTTTGAAAAATGAAAAGCTACTGGGGTGACCGAACCTCCTCCAACCCTTCAGATAATCAAGATATTTAACCCCAGATACAGAAGTCCAACCAGGGACTGCCACGCTCAGGCTGACCGGCCTCGGGGCAAACACAAAGATCTCAGACAGGGATATGTCTCGAGTCCAAGGGTCAGACAACAGACCGAGAGACCACATTAAGGGAAGGAGTGGGACCAGAAGAAACACATCCCCTTTCTTCTCCTCCGGCACAGACTGACTCACGGGCTCTCCACCCGGCCCTGCCAAGCCCCGGGGCTGGCTTTGGAAGGGCAGAGCTGCCTGCAGAGAGGGAAAACTAGGGACTCAACTCTCAATTCTGGGGCACAATCTCAAGGGCAGAGTCATTTCCCACTTCTAAAGACTTTTCCCTAAACTGAAGCAGGGAGGGCCACTGGAATTATTCAGCTGCAGATGAAACAGTGTCCACATTGCCTTTCCGTCCCTTCCAACAATGTGTTAGTCAGGCAGTCCTGGAAAGTCTGGGAGATGGTGAAGGACAGGGAAACCTGGCGTGCTGCAGTCCATGGGGTGGAACAACAACAACAACCCTCGAAACAAGGCCTCTTCCCAGCCCCGCCTGGAAAAAGGATCCTTGACAAAGTGTTTGCAAAGATAGTAGAATGTTACTATGATATGTTGTCTCTTTTCACTCCTGCCCACTGAAAACCGGTTCTGCTGTCCACCCCCAAAGTAACCTTCTGAAAGTCTATTTGGTTTTTCCTTAACTGGGGACAGAAGTCACACAAACAAAAAGCCACTCCTTGTACAGACATCGTGTTCAGAGGCGGCTCCCCTATCCTGGCCACCTACACAGCACCAACCAGGAGGATCAGAGCCACTGCTGGGGGTGGAGGTGGGGGGACTGCAGTAAGAGGGCTGGGCGGGAGGCGGCCAAGGGCAGGGAGACCCCAAACCATGGGCAGCGCTGGGAGGCACCAGGGTCCCCCCAGCACGCGGCCAACACAGCTGCGACCTGACTGGGAGGTGGGAAAATGAGTGGGAGCAGGGCTGCAGCCGCCTGGGCAGGAGAGAACCTGAGCCTCCCCCGGGCCAGGCCAAGGCCGAGCAAGGGGCGGTCCCAGGCACCCTCAGCCCTCAGCCCATCGCTGGAGAACTCTGCGACCCCGCGGGCGATGACGCACGAGCCCCTGTGGTCTCTGAACTCGCGGCCGGACCTCGGGTGCCCATCCTCCAACAGACGGCGGCTGACCCCAAACGGGCGCCAGAAGACCACAGATTTCAGGACCGCCCCCCGCCCCGACCCTGAGAGACCACCCCCGGCGGGGGAGGGGGGCAGAAAACCCAGATCCAGACAAGTGGTCAGCCTTGGGGTGAGGGTGTCCCTGGGGTCACTCAGCCGCACTGTGGATGTCCGAGGCGCCTAGATGTCCACCACGACCAAGAATCCCCAACCCCCAGCCAAGACCCCAGCGCCCCGGCCCTACCGCGGCGCCGGCCCCCCAGCGTTAGGCCCCCGGAAGTCTAGGGTGCGCCCAGGACCCCGCACCCGGTTCGGGCGCACCGCCGCACCCCGACGAGCTCCGGCCGCAGCGGACCCGAGCCCTGAGCGAGCGGTGAGGGACGCAGCGCCCGCAGTGCGACTGGCGCAGCCACTGAGGGCGGCGCGGGGCACGCTGCCCAGACCCCGACCCACGACCAGGGAGGGGCGCCGCGCCGGGAAGTGCTCGCCGCCGGCCCCTCTGAGCCTGCAGCCCCGGGCGCGCTCACCCTCCGCCGGCGGGCGGGAGCATCCCCTGGGCTCAGCGCACGCGGGTGGGCACGAGACAAGGATACGCACGCCAAGTGGGCCAGCCGCGGATCGGTCCTGGTTTGGGAAGTGGGATGGGGACCCGCTCCGGACACAGGCAAGGAGGGGTCCTTCCGGGACCCAGGAAAGAGACAGATATGGGGGCCACTCTAGAACCTGGGGGAAACGCAGAGAGGGTCCGTTTCGGATTGCAGGGCGGCGGGTGGGAGGTACATTCGGGTCCAGGATAACGGGGAGGGGGCGAAGAGGAGCGCAGGAGTCATCGCCGCTGTAGCGAGGAGGGCTGGAGAGGTCTTTCCGGAACCCAGGAGAATTAAGAGGGGGGGCTCTGGTCGGGCTGCGGGCCGGCCACCACGAGGTGTGAGCCGGGCACACGCAGGACCCGACTGGGAAGCGCGAGGGGCTGGTTCTGGCAGCCGTCAGGCGCGGCAGCGAGTGCACCCGGGTTCGAGGGTAAGAGCGGGAGGGGTTTGCACCAGGGGGGTCGTGGGGACCCGCGCAAGTCGGGGGGGAGGGCGACCGTGTTTGCAAGTCGCCGAGTAGCCGGAGGGGTGTCGGCGGCACCGCGGAGAGGCCGGTCCCGACCGGGAGGAGGGTCTGCCCGGCAGCGCTCACCTTGGGTTTGTACAGCCACTTTCGGAACCTGTTCATCATCGCCGCGCCGGCCCGGCCCGGCCCGGCCCGGCCCGGCCCAGGCGGCCCTCACCTCCGCAGCGCTGCGCCTGGCCCCGGCTGCGGCGCGGGGCGGACGCGGGGCCGGGCCGGGCCGGGGTCCCGCGAGGACCCGGGGGACGCCGGGCGGGCGGGCGGCAGGTGCGCGGGGCAGGTGCGCGGCCAGAAGATGCTCGGAGAGCGGCGCGCGGCTCAGACCCGCGGACAGACGCGCGGACTGACCGGGCACTGGGGCGCGGGCGCCTCTCCGCTCACTGACACCCCGCGCCTCCACCGGCCACCGCCGCCCGCGCCACACATGCGCCGACGCGCTGCGAGCCCCCGGCCCCGCAGCGAGCCGCGGAGGCTGCCCAATCCGCGCGCCGCGCCGCGCCCCGCCCGAGGCGCGCTCCCCCGCCGGCGACCCGGCGCGCCCTGCGGCACCGAGAACTACAAGTCCCGGAGGGCATTGCGGGGAGGCGGGGCGGGGCGTGTCCCTTGTTCGGGGCGACCTCTGCCCTGCCGCGGGCGCTGTGTATTCTGGGGGTTGTAGTCTTCCCGCCCACGGCCCCGGAGCGTGCAGCGGTTGCTAGGTGACGACGGTCCAACTGCATTCCAGCACCGCTCCTGCCCAAGGGGTTGCAGAGGCCCAGGCGGAGCAGAAGTGCAGAGGGTGGGATCCACTGCTGTTCCCGAATCCCCTCGCGCCCGCCGACTCTGACAACTGCTGTGCGGCGGTCGGTGGCGAAAAAAGGAGGTTCCGGAGCACCGGCGGGCCTAACAGGTACACGGAGTAGGGCAGCATGAAAGTGGGCAAAGCGCGTCGGCTCAGCACCAGCACCTCCCACCTGCACTTCCCTAGATCTGCAGGCTCGTTCTTTCTTGCTTCCCGTCTTGCTTTCGCTAACCTCCTCTTCTTCCCAACTCCTTGATTGAAGTTAACAGTGCTTTTTTAAAAAAATCATCTCAACAAGAGATATTTTCTAAGAAGATATACTCCCGTATTCACTACTTCCCCCAAACGTGCCCTAATTTGGATCCCAAAAAATCAATTAAAAAAAAATCTGAGAATCTGTTAAGTGCTAGTGCCATGCTTAATCGCTCAGTCATGTCTGACTCTTTGTGATCCCATGGACTGTAGCCTGCCAAGCTCCTCTGTCTCTGGGATTATCCAGGCAAGAATACTGGAGTGGGTTGTCATTTCCTCCTCCAGGTAATCTTCCCTGGGGGTCGATCCCGAGTCTCCTGCATTGGCAGGTGGATTCTTTACCATGAGCCCAATAGTTAGGATTAGGTTCAGCTTTATGCAAACCTGACTCAGACAAGGTTAATGTTTCAAAGAAATAGGCCCATGGGGAGGAAATCATGGGAGATATGACACCCTCAAAAGTCATCAGGGAGATCTGGGTTCCTCTGACTTGCTCTTCTGCCATCTTTGCATGTTTCCTCATTATCCAGAATTGCTTCCTAAGTTCCTGCCATCACCTCCTGAGTCCAGGCAGCAAGATGGAAAAGAGAGGAAGTGTATGCCCATCTCTTACAAGGAGACTTTCTGGAAGTCTCCAAGATGCTTCCACTTCTTGCCATACCCAGAAGCCAGGAAGACTAAGAAATGTCCTCTTTCAGTTAGGCAACAATGGGCCCAACTAAAAATCAGGGTTTTGTACTCAGGGAAGAAGGAAGAGAGGAGATTAAAAAGCAACCAACAAAACCTGCCACATGGGTCTGTACTTTAAACAAAGTCATCTGAGCATGACTTAGCAGAAATCCTTAGGAGACTGGCTTTAATCAGAATTTAAAAGCAGGAAAAGAATATATTTCAATTAGCACACATTTGGGATCTGTGTAAATTAAACCTCTCTAGTGACTGAGAGTGTTGAACTAGTGTGTATCTGATGGAATTATGGAATTTAAATCTCCTCGTGTAATCTCATTTCTGTCTGTAAAGGATTTGTTAAGAAAAGACTTGGTCCAGCCCACCTTTAAAGTTTCCTTAAATAGGAGACAGTCACGGCCTGATTACTGGAGTTAAAATCAACACTAAAAAAAAACAATAAGCTTGGGAATTAAATCTCACTTACCCACATGTATGGTTTTACACCATTAAAATAAAGCTTAGGTGCTAAAAGCACACATCAGAATTGGATGAACTTCAATACCTATTTCCTACCCAAAGTTGTGACTATTTTGACTAAGATTCTAGGCTAATTTCAGTTGCAATGCAGAATTCAAGTGCCTCTTCCAATGTCCACCTTTACAGGCAGCCCTCTGTGGCAGGTGTGGGGTGCCCATTCCCCACCCCAGGAGCCCACAGGCCTGACAATGAGCCAGAATTGAAGGGGGGCCTCCTCTCTGTATCCTCCACCCTGCCCCTCCTTTCACTGCTTCCAGTCCCTTCCATCCAGGTCTCTCTGGACAGAGGCCTTGGACGGCTCTCTTGCTCCTCCGTGACTTGCCTCATCACCAAACGGCCCCTCAGGTCATCCTGTTTTCAGAATGTTCCAGCTCCAGGACAGTAGAGGAGGGGTGGGGAGGAAAGCCCTCCTGCCCAGGTGCCGTTACACACAGACACACACACACACACACACACAGACACACACCCACACACAACTCACACGTATATACACATACATGTGTATATACATACACGCGTGCACATGCACATATACATATGTACATATATACATACACACATACACGTATGCATACATACACACATACACCCTCACCCACCCACACACACACACATACATACACATGCACACATACATACACATATGCACACACATATATACATGCACACATGCACACACGCACACATATACACATACATACCCACATATACACATACACACCCACATACACGTATACACATATGTACACATACACACCCATACACATACATCCACATATGCACACACACATATACATACACATACACATGCACACATAGATGCACACATACATACACGTATACACATAAATACACCCACACATACATGGACATACACACATGCACATACACCCACACACCCACATACATATGCACATACATACACATATACACATTCATACACCCATACATACATAGACACACACGTACATACACACATACACCCACACACCACACATACATACACACACACACATACATACACACACATACATATACACCCCACACGCATCATATACACATACACCCACATATACACACACATACATATACATACACATATACACATACATACACACACCCACACATACACATATACACACTCACACACATATACACATACATATGCACACCCACACATACACATATACACACTCACACACATATACACATACATATGCACACATGCACGCATACATATACATACACATATACACATACATACACACACCCACACATACACATATACACACTCACACACATATACACATACATATGCACACATGCACGCATACATATACATACACATATACACATACATACACACACCCACACATACACATATACACACTCACACACATATACACATACATATGCACACATGCACGCATACATATACATACACATATACACATACATATGCACACATGCACGCATACATATACATACGCATATACACATACATACCCACACATACACATATACACACATACACACCCACATACATGTATACACATATGTACACACATGCATATATACACACATACACATGCACACATACATAAACACATACACTGCACACATATACATAGACCCACACCCCACACATACATATACACATACATATACTCACACATACATACATATACACACATGCACATGCATACACATACATACACATTCACACACCCATACATACATAGACACACACGTACATACACACATACACCCACACACCACACATACATACACATACACACATATATACACACACATACATATACACCCCACACGCATCATATACACATACACCCACATATACACACACATACATATACATACACATATACACATACATACACACACCCACACATACACATATACACACTCACACACATATATACATACATATGCACACATGCACACGTACATATACATACGCATATACACATACATACACCCACACACACACATGCCCATATACACATACATACCCACACATACACATATACACACACCCACATACATGCCCATATACACATACATACCCACACATACACATATACACACATACACACCCACATACATGTATACACATATGTACACACATGCATATATACACACATACACATGCACACATACATAAACACATACACTGCACACATATACATACACCCACACACCACACATACATGCACATATACACATACATATACTCACACATACATACATATATACACATGCACATGCATACACATACATACACATATACACATTCACACACCCATACATACATAGACACACACACACACATAGACATACACACATGCACATACACCCACACATACATATACACATACACATACACCCACATACACATACACCCACATACACATACACATGCACACATACATACACACAAATACACACATACATACACACATGTGCTCTCTCAGTGCCCACATCAGGCGCAGCAGGGATCTCTTTACCCAGTCCCTCCAGGCTGAGCGTGCCCCAGGGCAGCACCCCCACGTGACCGCAGTGCGGGGGGGGGGGGGAGGAGAAAAACTGATACTTGACATTGCTTTCATAAAAATAGACCTTTTGCCTCGGTTTAGGGCTTCCTTGTGAGCCCTGGGGTCGACTGTTATCTCTCTTATCGTGTTGACAGGGTGCCTCTTCCGTGCAGTTCCAGGATCTGGTGGAGTGGGTGGTCGAGGACTTTAGGCCCCAGCCTGGGCCTCGGCGGGTCCCACAGGCAGGAAGCCCTCCTTGGGGATGAAGGGGCCGGCCCCCCCCCAGCCCCAGGTGGCTCTCTTCCTCGGTAACCCGCCTCGTGAACGCCGCTGACACATCTATTACTGTCCAACTAAACGAGACAGTAGAGCTGAGCTCTGCTGAATTATAGAACCTGTGGGAGCCAAGGCTTAAAAGGCATCATGGTCTTTGGATAGGTCTCTCCCTGGATCATAACTCTTGGTGTGATTGAAACAGCAGATTGAAACACAAGAACCATTTAGCGTGGTCGATCCTGGCGGACATGTTTACAGTTCCTCATTCATTCCACAGACAATTCTGTGGCTGGTGCTGAGGGCCGGCTCTGGGGGAAGGGCAAGGGACTCAGAGGTGGCAAGGCAGACCCTGCCGCAGGGGCTCACGGGAGCTTAAGGGAAGTTGGGACGACTTTGGAGGAGGCCCAGAGAAGGGGAGAGCGGAGGGCGGGGGAGGAAAGGCTTCACAGGTGGTGATATTCGAGTGGGGTGCTGAGGGGTGCCTAGGAGCTCACCAGAGAGAGGAGAAAGCTCGAGTTTCTGGAGAGACATGTGATGGGGCTTCTGAGTGAGTGAGAAGCCCAAGCGGGCAGGGCCAGGGCGAGGACGGAAAAGAGTCCAGAGGCTGTGACCCCAGCCTAAGGAGGGGGGCACGCCGGGGAGGCTCTGCAAGTCCCGCAGCAGCTGAGAACTTGGGAGTGCTAGTGACGGCTGGAGTGGAAGGAGAGTCCGCGGAGGCCGCCCCTCCCAGACCTCCCGCCCCGAGGCAGTGATGGGTCCTGGTGGTGCCAGCAGCTCAGGAGCACTTGGCTACAAGGAGCGGTGTGGAGACAGGAGCTCCTGGGCACCCCCGAGCCTTCGTGGGTCATGGCCTTTGCTCATGCGGCTGGCCCTGGGTGGGGTAGACCTGTCTCCGGATCCACTGACCCTCCTGAGACGTGGTCTCCAGGGTGGGCAGGCCCTCCCCTCCCCTCCCCTGGACCCAGGGCTGCAGGCCAGTTCCAGCACGTTTCTGAGGCCCGCGAGGACTTTCCTCCAGCCCCATTTGGGAGGAGCCCTGCCAGCTTCTGTGTCCACACGCGGCGGGGGCCAGGCCCCAAAGTGGGCCCCAGGAGCCGAAAGGCCCAGTCAGGCCTCCGTGCGGGGTGGCACCGCCCAGGTGTACGGACCCCCAGCAGCTCAGCGCTGCCCTCCCTCTCCTGGTGAGGGTAGGCGGCAAAGCGTCTGAAAACTGCTCAGGGAGGGGCCCCCAGCCTGCCCGCTGCTGTCACCTTCCTGGTAAAACCTCCAGCTTTCCAGTCCCATGCCTGCCCCTCTCGGGGCGCATTGCCCGGGCTGGGGGCTGGGCCTCCCCGTCCATCACCCACGGGTACCGGGGAGTCAGCTGCCAGCACCACCAGGACCCATCACTCCCTCCGGAGCCTTCATGCTTCCAGGCTGGAGAGGGGTTCCCTAGGGCCTGGTGCCCAGAGTCACTGTCGGGGGGCTTGGGGCTGCCCTCACCCGGCCCTGTCCCTCCGTCACCACTTGCCTCCGGGGCCCCCGTCCGTCACTGCCGGGACATCCTCTTGTATTACGTCTCTCCTGTCTTTCGGAAACCCCTGTCAGTTGGAATGCACAGTGGGTCTCTCGGACGGGTCTCGATTTCTTGGTGCTTTTATCCCCCACTTTCGACGTCGTCCTGGTTTTCTGCTCTCTCTCCGCCACTCTGTCTTGGCCTCTCCTATTTAAGTCTCCCACTCTGCTATCACAGTTTAATTTCTAAGAACTCTCTTCTCCCTCAGATGCTTCGTGAATACCGTCTCTCTCCCTCTCTCTGAGCTGGCGTAGTTGCTTGTTTCTGGGTTGTTCCCGCTGTTCTCGAGTGCCCTTTTCGTCCGGTTTGTTTCCATGGTTGGTGTCAGAGGCTCCCTGCGGCGTCTGGTGGCACTGGGCCTTCGCTCTCTTTACGGTGATGGTGGGGGGTCTCACCCCGTGGGCCGTGATTGGCTGGGGCTGGCCTCTCACTGGTGAACCCCAGTGTTTCTCCACTCCATCTCCAACCTGCAGGACCTAGGGCTGCGGGCTGCTCTCGGGAGCCGGTCCAGCTTAGCAGAGGGAGGAGCTGGCCTTGCTGATAGCTGGCGCCTGGGAAACCAGCTGCGTGGTGACCCAGAACCTGCTCAGTCAGCCTGGAACCAAGGCTGGGTGAGATGGGAGCTCCTGGGGCTTGGCCACCCTGCTCTGAGGACAATGTGGGGGTCACCTATTAGAACCGGTTCCTGGGGGCCCATCCCACCCCAAGCAGCTTCTCCAGGGTCTGCCAGAGAAAGGCTCTGAGCGAGCCAGTCTGCTGGAGCTGCTGCGTTTCTGGAATGTTCAGGCCTGGCGTCTTCCCTGGGTGCTGCTTGTCATTGTTGTTCGGTAGCCCAGTCACGTCCGACTCTTTGCAACCCCGTGGACGGCAGCTCACTGGGCCTCCCTGTCCCCCACCGTCTCAGTACTAACCAGGGTTCTGGTCACCTCACCGTTACAATGGGGGTACCGAGCGTGGAGACCTCAGGACTCTTCTTGCCCCAGACTTCTGTGACGAGGTGCCCCCTGCTCCGAGCAGGACTGCTGAGTCACCTGTCGCCATGCCCCAGCCGGCTGAGGGGCACGCGGGTTGACTCAGGGGCCTCCACGCTGGACTGGCCTCCCTCAGCGGTCATCCTGGGACCCTCCCTCCGTGGGCGAGAAGGCTGCGGGGGGCTGTGGGCGAGCAGGAGCCGGGGGCAGGCTCCCCGAGGCCTGCAGGGGTGCTGTCCAGGAGGTGGGCCTGGGCTTATGCCCACCGGGGCCCCCACTTTCCTCTGGCACTCCTCGCCACATGAGGCTCCCCGGTGGACCCCCTGTGAGCTCAGTGAGGGTCCTTCACCACCTTCCAGGTTGGCTGCCCAGGGCGCACGGAAGGCGTGACCTGTCGGGTTTGCTCTTAGGGTCCCGCCCTGGAAGATGGCCTACTATGGGAAGTGCATTGAAACGGTGATGAAGCACCTGGACCGATTTCAGCCTAAGAAGGACAGTCCCGAGCAGTTCCTGGAGGCCGTGGCCAACTCCCTGCAGGTAGGGTCCACGTGGGGGCTCGAGGCTCGAGGGGGGCCATGGCCATGACCCCCGCCAGGAGCTTTTCACTCTCATCCCATTGTCTTTCGCGCGGAGAGGCCGGAGGCGAGATTCCCAGCTGGCCAAAGGCTGCTTCCCTGACCCAGGAATGTGGCCTGTAACCCGGGAGTGTCTGCAGGGTCGGCCGTCCTCCCTGCAGGAGGAGGAGAGCCAGCCTCGCAGGCATCTCCCCAGCCCACCCCACCAGGGTCTTCCCGTTCGGGACGGGGCTGTGTGCTGGGCAGTGGGGCCACACCAGAAAGAGCTCCTGGGCTGTCGTCCCCGAGCCCCAGAGGTGCCTGTCCCGTGGCCCCCCTTGACGCACGTGCAGAGAGACCCTGGGTGGACTGGGGTCTGGTCCCTCTAGCACCTTGGGGGCCGCCCTGTGACCTGACCCCGCTTCCGTAGGTCTGTCCATCAAGGGCCGGTGCCCAGGAACGGGGCCAGGCAATGACACAGGTGCCACCTTCAGGACATCGGGGCGCAGGCCTTGTGGACAGGGCATCAGAGGAGGCCACGTGCTCCCAAAGAAGGGCTTTGGGAGGGGGGACACTCGGCCTGCAGCCACCACCCCTCCCTGCATCCCTGCCCGCTTTTAAGTGCCAGCAGCGGCCCTCCCCGGCTTAGCAGGGCCGTGAGCTGCTCCGCCCCGGGGCTGCGCACAGACCCACCCTCCCCTCTGCCTTCATCAGCCCCTTTGTGGCGCCACCACTGGAAAACCTGGGGTGGGGAGGGCCCTGGCGGTGCCCGCAGGGGCTAGAGGAGGCCTGGACACCGAAGCCTGTCTCACAAGGGAAACCTTGGGACCCCTGCTCCCGGGGTGGTTCAAAAAAGGGTGTCTCTGCCCTCTGGAGCCCTGCCAGTCAGCAAGGACTGGGGCGTGGGTGCGCCCCCCTCTGCTCCCCTCCTCTCCCTCAAACTCTCCTCCCGAAGTGTTTGGAGGAAAGGATGAAAACAGCCAAGGTCAGGCCCATCCGCGGTCCCTCTCCTTGCTGGTCGAAGCTGGCCTGGAAGCTGCGTCCCTGGAGCCAGCTGCCCCCCTGGCTGCTCCCTCAGTCTGTCCCGCCTACCTCCCCTCACCCATAGCTGCTGCCCCCTCCCTGGCCCGAAGACAAGAAAGGCCTCTTGGCTTCCATCCCAGCACCGCCCACATTTTTTCATCGAGACCTCTGGGTGCCCTGTCCCACCGCAAGCCCTGCAGGACATCCCTCACTGCTCAGCAGAAACGGCAAAGTTAATGCCTTTCTTTTTCCAGAATCATCTCAGAATCATTACTGAAAGTTGGGTTTGTTGCAACAAATAACCTTTGGATGGGACTTCCCTGGCAGTCCAGTGGTTAGGACCCGTGCTTCCACTGCAGGGGGCATGGGTTTGATCCCTGGGTCGGGAAGACCCCCTGGAGGAGGGCACGGCAACCCACTCCAGTACTCTTGCCTGGAGAATTCCATGGACAGAGGAGCCTGGTGGGCAACAGTCCATGGGGTCGCAAAGGGTCAGACACACAGAGTGACTAACACTTTCACAATGGCTTATTAATAGGAAATGAGCCCTGGTTGTCACCTGGGGGTCTGCGGCGTGTTGACAGTACATGAGCAAGTCCACCGCGGGGGAGGCACCACGCCCGCCCCACAGCGGCCCAAGTCTTCCCCGGGTGAAGGTGCTCATGCTGAACCGCGAGGCAGCTTCTCATCCAGGTCGCTGGTCCTCTCACACCCTCCTAGAAAGCCATCCTGGGCCCAGTGCAGGGGCACTGGGCTCTGACCCAGTTTGGAGAGCAAGCCTTTATTTCCAGCTGGGTCAGGACACCGCTCTGGTTCGACCAGGGCTCAAGCCCGCCACCTGGCAGAGAGGGAAGCAGCACAGAATACCCACGGGCAGAGTCTGGGGAGGGCAGGGCTGTGGGTTCAGCTGGGTCCCCCCAGAGGTGTGTTGACGTCCTGACTGCCGGGTCCCTGTGAAAAGTGAAAGTGAAGTTGCTCAGTCGTGTCCGACTCCTTGCTGACCCCATGGACTGTAGCCCACCATTCTCCTCCATCCATGGGATTCTCCAGGCAAGAATACTGGAGTGGGTTGCCATGTCCTCCTCCAGGGGATCTTCCTGACCCAGGAATTGAACCCTGGTCTCCCACATTGCAGGCGGATTCTTTACTGACTGAGCCTCCAGGGAAGCCCTGTGAGTGTGACCTTATTTGGAGACCCCGCTCTTTGCAGATATTCATCATGTCAAGACAGGGAAAGGTTGTTAGTGGAGCAGGGCAGGGTGTGGGGACTCTCTCTCCGCAGACGGAAGCCTGGGGATCCTTCCCCTCACACACACACACACACACACACGCGTGAGCACACACACACACATACACACACACACACACACACACACACACACACACAGGGAGCAGCCCCCAGCCCCCAGTCCCGATGGCATTCCTGCACAGAGAACATATGTCAGTGGGAGAAGATTCGGTCTCACATCTGAAAGGGATCCATCTGCCATCGGAAGAAAGTTCTCCGGCAACACCACCAGGCCAAAGGCAGGGCTGAGGGGTGGGGAGCAGCCTCTCCAGATGCCAGCCTACGCGGTGGGGGGAAGTGGCCCTGGGGACGCGGCTGGGGGCCCAGAGCACCCCGCGGGAGAAAGGATGGGTGGGGCTGCACCAGCCAGGCCCGGCCCTCAGGGAGGAGCAGGAGCCTGGGGGCGTCCCACCGCCCCCTTGTGCTCCGGGCCCCTTTCAGCCCCCACCAGTGGGTTAACCTCTCACTGGAGTAAGTAGCCTTTCATTAGGGCATCCTATCGGGGGGGGGCTGACGGGACAGTTTTCTGGAGCGCGGTGGGCATCAGCCCTCCGGGCCACGCAGCACCACAGTTCAGGTGCCAGGCTGGGCAGGCTGGGCCTAGGAACATCCAGAGACAGACAGGGGCCTGCAGGACAGAGGTGGGGTGTGGCAGAGAGTCCTGAGGCCTGAGCAGCCGCCAAAGGAGGGTCTGGCTTTGAGAGAGAGCGCCTGGGGGCGGGTGCAGGGAGGAGGAGAAGAGAATCGCAGGCAGCGGTGGGGGCGAACAAGGTGTTAGTCCAGGCGACCCCGCCGCTCAAAACCGCGGGCAGGGGGGCAGACAAGTTCTGAGCAGGGGAATGAGAGGGCCGGCAGGAGAGGGGCCCAACCAGACAGCCTGGGGTGGGAAAGGCCAGTCCCCCGCCAGAGGGGAAGCGAGGCTGTGCGAAGGGGCTTGTGCAAGAGGCTGGGGGAAGGCAGGGGTGGGCGGAGCCTAGAAACACAACCCAGGTCTCGGTGGAGAGGCTTGGTGCGGTGGCCAGCCCCAGGGAACCTCTTTTCACTTTCTGGTCCACAGTGTGAGAGGAAACCTGGGCTCAGGACAGGGTTTTTATTTTAATAGATATCTTAAAAAATACCCGATGTACTTTGGATCAGAGATCCCAAACCCAAAGGCTCAATACGGTATGCAGTGTGGGTATCCCCACTGGGAGACCAGTGACCTCCATCCAGAGAGACGGTCCAGACCTGTCTCACGCAGGTAATATAATAGATCTGGAAACATTATTGTTCACACTATAAACTTTACATGTGAAAGCTGTAAATAAGTATATATAATTTTTAAAGTCTTTTACAAGATGGTAGTCCATTAAACACAGTCCCGCCCTTCTCTTTCCCCACATAACGAGGGGTCACAGGGATCACTCCGTCTTCTTGTCGTAAAGCCGTGAGCATCCTTGTCGCTGAGTGTGCCGGAACCACCATAACCATGCCCTGTGGATGGGGTCATTGTCGTTTCCAGTCTGTGACTGTTCCAAACCACCCTGTCCCTCTGCGCCTGGGCAGGCACACCCAGAGTCACGTCCCAGAAAACACACGAGAGAGAAAGAATCCTGGCCTCGGTAACTTCAAGAGATCTGGCCAGCTGCCCTGACGCAGCGGCCTCCTCATTGACTGTCCCTGCTCGTGTGATGTGCTCACAAACGTTTTATCTTTGCCCATGAAGTAGCTGGGCAAAGGCAGTTGGTGTGCTTACAATCAGCATTTCTCCTGTTATATTTTCACGAGTATTTCTTGTTCTGACCTTCCTGCTCGGAAGTATGTCTATTAGGAAACGGTGTTTGGCCACAGCAGCAGCAGGAAAGCGGTGACTTAAAGAAATCAGAGGTGTCTTTGCTCATGTAAGAAGCAGTCGGCGGACAGGCCACCCAGGATGGGTGCCAGCAGGTCCGTGGCGTCGTTAGGAACTCGTTCTCCTTCCTTTCTGCTTATCTGTCCTTAGAATGTACCGCTTGTCTTGTAGTCACAAAATGGCTGCCTTGCTCCAGCATTGCACCCAGGTCCCAGAGAGGAGAGGAGAAAGGCAAACAGTATAAGGCGGGCGCCAGCTGAATCTGCTTGACTTTCAAGGAAGTTTCTTGGAGGCCACACCTAGCAATGTGCCGTCAGATCTCATCAATTGGAGCCACGAGCCACATCAGCAAGGGGCCGGGAGAAGTTGTAGCCGGGCGCATTGCCTTCCCCAGCAAGACAGCTTTCTTCCTCTTCTCAGGAAGGAGGGGAGAAGGGCTTGCGTGTGCATCTGGCAGCCTTGGTTTCCTTGGCCTCCTCTTCTAACCGACTTATGGCTTTGTGTCACCGATTAGTGGGAGCCCCTGGGTCTTGGTGACATGAGTTACAAACCCTGGGTTGTGGCAATCAGTGTCTGGGTCCCCTCCCAGCCCCGGAGCCCGCTGCAGCTCTGCGCCGGCCCTTGGGGTCCGGCCGACAAGCGGGGCCCGTGAACCCAAGCACCTGCTGTCAGAGGCGCTGCCGGACGTGTTGAGCCAGCAGCAGGCTTTGGGGTCTCTGGTCCCCCTGCCCGCAGGGCCCTGCCCTCCCGGGCCCCCAGACGCAGGAGCCCGGAGCTTGACCAAGGCCCTAGACTGTACCCAGAGCTCAGAGGCCCCTTGAGGGGCGGGGGCCACCCTCTGGCCTCAGTGACTGAGGCTGGCCCAGAATTAGGGGCGTCTGACTCCAGTGCTGAGGGCTTCTCAGGAGGGTCCGGACCTCAGCCTGCCTGCTCCGCTGGCCCGGCCAGGAGGACCAGTCTAGGGCTCATCGTCCTTCATGTCACCTGTGTGGACCTGTCTCCTCTCCGCCACCCCCGCCCCCCACCTCCAGCTCGACCTTCCCGAGCTGAGGGCCTAGCATGCGGGGCTCCTCACCTGCCCAGCCCCCCGGCGCAGCGCAGCCCTGCCTCCTCCTGGGGCAGACGGCCTCGGGCCTGTAGCCGCAGGCTCCAGGCTCTGGCGAACTATACACGCTCACGGCCCTAAACCCAGGCGTGTGAGGGGATGCAGAGTGGAGTTCCGCGGTTTGAGCGGGGAGGCCTCAGCGCGAGCGCTGACTCAGGGCGTCCCTCGTCCCTCGAGCGAGCTCTGCTGACTCACCGCTGCCGCTCCAGGCTTCTCCTGACAAAGGCGGGGAGTTAGAGGGGCGGGGGGGCGGGGCTGGCGCCCAGCTGGCGCTCGTGCCCTCTCTGTGGGCACAGCCAGGAGGTCAGGGGAGCCTGAGAGGGAAAAAGAGGCAGGGTCCTGGCTCCTGGGACCCGAGCTGATCTGAGCGAGGCCGCCGCTCCCCTCCTGGTTGTGCTGCGAGGGAAGGAGCCCCGCCCTGTGCCCACCTGCCCGCGGCCCCCCACGGAGGCAGGGCGGCCCACCCCCTCCGTCGTGAGCACTCGGGCGACCCTGGAGCCGCGGAGGGGCAGTAAGCACGAGTGCGTGATCCTGCGGGGTGAGGGGCCACGGGTGACCCTGGGGGCTGGCTGGGGTGCCTCCCCGGTCTGGTGACATCTGAGCCAAGGCCTGCTGGGCATGGGGAGCAAGCGTGCAGGGCAGAGCCCTGCAGGCGGAGGGCACAGCCGGCCGTGATTGGGGGCTCGCCTGCGCCGCGGGACTGCAGCCCGGTGGGCGGGGCCTCGTGGGGCGGGGGCCTCGTGGGGCGGGGCCTCGTGGGGCGGGGCCTCGTGGGGCGGGGCCTCGGAAGGACTCTTTTCCTAGAGGGTTCCATCAAGCACAGGCGCCATCAGACTTTCCTTTACAAAGACTTGCTGGGTGACCTCTGAGGAGGGGCCGAAGGAGCTGCGGGACAGTGGCTGGGACCCCGTGGATGGGACGCTGGGGAGAGCGTCACGGGGAAACAGGGCGTAGTGCTTACGGAGATGGGAGGGCCCTCCCACAGTCAAAATCTGCTTGCGTTGTCCTGACGGTGTGTAAGGTCACCCAGAGGCGAGTGCAGATAAGGGAGCGGAGGAGCCGAGATGGAGCCTGTGAGCCGAGGTCGGAGGTCAGAGGAGGGTGTTGTTGCCCCATCAGCTGCGGTTCCCGCAGCCGCTCCAGGCGTCGGAGGGGCGGCAGAGTCAGTGTCGGAGCGCTCCTGCCAAGGCAGGAGGGGGACGACCCCCCGCCCCCCATCACTCCAGCCGGTGTGCCTCACCAGCCGAACCTGACTCCACCCAGGACCCCTGGACCCCCAGGCAGGGCGGCTGGAAAGGGCGGCCCTCAGGACTCCAGCTCCCGGGGTGCGGAGGCCTGGAAAGGGCGGCCCTCAGGACTCCAGCTCCCGGGTGCGGAGGCCGGGAGGGAGTAAGCACAGACACCCTGCTCACATGCGTGTGTGAAGTCCAAGTTCATCTCGGACCCCTTGGCTGGCCTCATTACTCTGTTGTTCTCTTAGCATAAAGGCAAGGGAGGAAATCACAGAGGAAAAGGCAGATTAGACCTCAAAACAAAGCAAAGCTTCTATAATCCATATGTCAAAAAAAAGTTTGCACAAAGTTAAATGGCAAATTACAAGCTTATAACAAATAGCTGTGACACTAATGGGCATGTTGATTCCCTCAATCTATGAAGAGCTCCTATAAACGATTGGGAAAAATAATATCCCAATAGAAAAAGGTAGCCAAGAATATTAATTGATAATTCACAGAAGAGAAATACAAGTAAATGTCCAGTAAACGACGTATGAAAATCTCATTGACAGTAAAAGTTCAGGACGTCCCTGGTGGCACAGTGAATAAGAATCCGGCATTAAGTTTTTTGCCATCTCACTGTAAGTCTTCCAGGAGCATCATGGAAATGACTGCATCCCACTTACCTGCAGCATGGAGAGCTTGCATCTGACTCCCTGCGTTGACATTCAGGCTGTTAACATTTTCGCCACTGCACATGCCGTTACCCTGAGCGTCTCCTTTGTGGATATTTTCTGCCTTTTGTCCGGTTTCCTTAGAGTCCCAGAAGTGTGGTTACTGGGTTAAAGTGTGTGGGAAATATAAGACCTTTGAAACATATTTCCAAATTGCTTTCAGGAAAGACACTCCAGCCCCATCCCCAGGAGGCCTGCTTACTGTTACATTGGCAACAATGATTGCCAAGTCGCTCAGTCACGTCTGATTCTTTTGCGCCCCCATGGGCTGCAGCCCGCCAGGCTTCTCTGTCCCTGGGATTCTCCAGGCAAGAATACTGGAGCGGGTTGCCGTGCCCTTCTCCAGGGGATCTTCCCGACCCAGGGAACGATCCGCGTCTCTTAGGTCTCCTGCATTTGCAGATGTGTTCTTCACCACTACTCCACCTGGGAAGCGCTGCTGGCAGCAGTAGATGTTCTTTTTTTCTTATTGTCGAAACTTGGTTTTTTGAATACTTAAGCCATGACACGCACAGGTTACAAAACCCAACATGTTTCAGAGTAAATGGAGAAGAGTCTCCACTGACACTAATTCCCTCTGCCAGAGATTTTTCCTTGCTTGGTTATTGTTTGTTTGTTTGTTTTTGAGGGGGGGGTAATTTTTAAAATCATTCATTTGATAAACTTCACAGGAGCGTGCTCCTTTTTTTATTGTGGTGAAATACAAGTGACATAGAATTTACCATCTTAGCCATTCTTAGGTGTATGATGCAATACAATTCAGTGGGTTAAGAATGTTCGCATGTGAATATCACCACCGTCTGTCTCCAGAACCTTCTCACCTTCGCAATTGGCAACTCTGCGTCAAATAACAGTTCCCACCCTCTTTCCATCCCCCCGTCACACCCCACACACCTTTCTACTTCCCGTCCTGGGAATCTGACTCCTCACATGAGCAGAATCACACAGGGCTTTTCCTTCGGGGTCATTTTCCCTGTTTATTTCCGTCTCTGCCCGCTCAAGGTCTCCGCCCAGGGACCAACTCCTGGGGGAGAACCTGCAGGGTCGAAGGGTTGGCCAGGGGCTCCCCACTCTAGGGTGCTGGGGCCCCCACATCTGGAGGCAGCTGCCCCCTCCCTGGGCTGTTTCTCCTCCAGACACTGAGCCCCCAGAAGCAGGCGTTCATCATGGAGATCCTGTCGGGGTGCCTAGAGTACCGCAAGCTGCTGACCATCGTGGTGGACGCCTTCTATGTGCGGGATGGCCGGCTCTGCCCACGGGCTGACTACAGCCTCTTTGAGGGTAGGTGTCCGTGGCCAGCTGTGGTCGGAAGAGCCCGCGGGTCCCTGCGGGCCAGACCCCTGCAGACCCTCAATAGTGACCGAGCCCCTCCCCCAGCAGGCCTCCGAGGTCCTCAGCCTCCCTTCCCTCCCTGGACCCTCCCAGCTGCCGGAGCGTGGGCGGCCAGGGGGCTGTGTTTCCCCCCCTCACTGATGTGGAGACAGACTCCAGGCGTGCTGACCGCCAGGCCCCAGGAGGCAGGCCTCCGCAGGCCTCAGAGGGAGGGCTAGGCTGGCTGGGAGAGGTGGCCCTGTAGGCCAGTCTGTGTGACAGGATAGGTCTTCATCATCAGCTGAGTTCCTGGCCCCATGGCCCTGAGGACCACGTACAGAGCCGGTGTTCTGGCTGTACTGTGGACAGTCCCAGAGGGGGTTCAGTAGAAGGAGGCGTTTGGGGACTTCCCTGGCAGTCCAGTGGTTAAGACTCTGGGCTGCCAATGAAGGGGCCATGGGTTCGATCCCTGGTCAGGGAACTAAGATCCCACGTGCTGTGCAGTGCTGCCTTCATGGGGTGTGGTGGCAACGTGGGCAGAGTGGCCAGTGTCTGAGTCGGGGAAGGTGGTCCAGCCCTTGGGCTTCGATGGACCTGCCTGGGAGGGAGGGGTCGGGACTGCAGGGAGCTCAGAGACAGAGCTGGGGGGGTGCCCGATGCCGGGGCTGGAGCTGGGCTGCTGGCCCCCCATCCCCTAGTCCAGCGGCTTCCAGTCTCAGAATTCACAAACTGAAAAGCAAGATGGTTTTATTTTTACCCCAGAAGTTTTGGAATTTCTGGAAATGTATCCAATGAGCTACAATGATCTGCAAGTGCTTGAAGCCCTGGAACCCTTCCCCCCACCCCACCCCCACTCCCATCGCTTGTGCTGTTGTATCAGGCTGTCACTTTCACGTGGACCCGATGGAGCAGGCGCCTCTGGCCACACGGCCCTAGGGAGGCAGCGTCCTTGGCTCTGTTCGCTGCCCCTGTCGGGCCCTTAGCCCCTGGTGCCTCTCCCAGGATCAAACGCCCCAGGCGGGGACCCCAGCGTTCTGCTCCCATGCCCACGCCCTCTTCCCCCAGTGATCTGCTACTTGGCCACGTTCCAGCTGGAGGAGCTTGGCTTTCAGCTCTTCTGTGACGTCGTGCGGTCCCAGCCGATCCACAAGGTGTGCAAGGTGAGCCCCCCACCCCCAGCCCCACGTTCTGTTCTCAGACCCCGGCCCCTGCCCCACCTTGCTGCAGAGGTGCCCTTTTCAGGCCTGGGGAGTCTGGTTTCTGCTCCTTGCGGTCCGGCGGGTGGTCGCTGCTGGATGTGAGCTGCTAAGGCAAGACAAGGCGTCTTTGCCCGTTCATAGTCTGGGCCTCTGGAACCTTCCCAGCCCGAGGCAGCCTCTCCTTCCTGCAGGAGGGGCTGTGTGGCTTTGGGGGGTCTGGGAGGGCGCAGTCTGGAGCAGGTCCTGAGGGGTGGCAGCCTTTGAGAGGGCGCCTGCAGGAGCCCACCCCCTCCCCTCCCCCAGGCCGTCTCTATGGCCGCCTGTTCACTTGGGCAGAAAGCTCGGGATGCCCAGGGCCTCAGGGCCAGCAGGACCGTGAATGGGCCTCAGGCCCGCTGCCCTCTGCCGGCCACTCCCATGGAGCATTTGCTGTGGGCCCGGCTTCCTCTGCGAGCAGTTCTTGGTCCGCCCTCACAGGGACTGGGCGAGGTCAGTCCTACAAGCACTCATCCCGCAGTTGAGGAAACTGAGGCAGAGAGGTTCGGTAGCTAACTCGACGTCACGCAGCAGCTGAGCGGCAGAGCCGGTTCTCGGGCCAGGCTTTCAACCGCTGGCGGGCTCCTCCCTCCTGGGCTTGGCGGCAGGCGGCAGCCCCCAGCCCGGGGTAATGACTCCCAGAGAAGAGATGGACAGCTGAGGCCCCAGGAGCGCTGTGCGGCCCCTCTGGAGGGAAGCCGCAGGCGCTGCAGGGGCAGCCCTGGAGTGGGAGGGGAGGTGCGGGGCGGGGGAAGGGAGATGGGAGCCGGGACACTCACGGGACCACCGCCCCAGAGATCTGCACCCGCCCCCTGGCAGGTGAGCGAGGCAGCACGTTTAGTGACTGTGTTCCTGTCCACGTATAAACATGAGTAATTCACGGTTCATGGATGTTTCCATAGTCACCGTGATCAAGGGCTTCATTTCATGACAGCATTTTCTGAGCGATATTCAGAGACACCCAGGGCCAGCTTCCCTGCTGGAGCGCCCGCACTTGGTTCACACTCTGCTGTCAGAGTCTTGAAATTCTTAAAAAAAAAAAAATTCTTAATAATTGTTGAGCAAAAGGCCCACGTGTCAGCCTGTCCCGGGGGGTCCCGCAGCGGCAGAGCCGACCCTGAACTAGGCTTGGCCTCCCAGCCGGTGCCTAGAACCAGCACACCCCCTCCGGTGCATTTTCCTTTTGGAGAGCCCCCCTCCACCGGGAGTGGTGTGTCCCCAGATGGGGGTGAGAGGAGGAGGGGGCCCAGGGGTGGAGCGGTGGGCCCCAGGAGCAGTGGTCTGGGAGGAGAAATTGTGGAGACCCCAAGTGCCCCAACCATAGGGACTTGACTGCCTCCTTCATCAGGAAGTGGGAACAGGAACTAGAAGATGGAGGTAACACCGGGAGAGGGTAGGCGAGGGGCTGAGACAGGCTCCGCAGGGCCCGGGGGGTAGGCAGAGGCCCGGGGGCTTGGGGCATGGGGAAGTAGGGGCCAGGCTGCTGCTGTGGAAGCTGTGGAAGGCTCTAGAAGGACCCCTGGCAGGTACCTGCTCCCTGAGGCAGGGCATGGAGGCCTGAGCAGAAGAAGGAGGGGTGGACATGCCGGTGGGGGCGGTGGGCCCCCCGCGGAGGCAGCATCGGGCGACCAGAGGCCCTGGCCCTGCCCCCTGCCCACCACCCCCCCTCGGGCATCAGGGCCGAGGACCTGCCCAGCCCCCACCCACCCAGAGCCGGTGGGGAGGACGGGGTGGGGGCGTTTGTACAGACCCACGGGGTACAGGGGTTGAAGCCCGGGGCCCACAGCCGACAGGGACCCCGCTGGCGAACACAGGGGCCCAGGCGAGCGACAGGCAGCTCCCCAGGCCCACAGGAGGGGGCAGGCCAGTGGGGCTGGACCCCTGTCTGCGGCCGGCTGGGGTCTCCTGGGGGTGCGCCAGCCACAGCTGCCGCCCCAGCACTGACTCCCCACTGGGGGGCTCCAGGGGCTTTCACTCTCACCGAGTGGGCCTGGCCCCCGCGGCTCCCTCTTCCCTCAGTTCCTCGGGTTCCTCTTCAGCCCCTTGAACCTCAGCTCGTGGATCAAGGACGAGTGGAGCCTTGTCTACGAGACGTCCCATGTGAAGGAGAACTGGATCGATCCCCTGATGAGGTGGGCAGCGCCGGGGCCTCACCCCAGGGCGGCGTCCACGCAGGCCGCCAGCTCGTGGCCGCGGAGTAGGGGGCCTGCATCTCTTCCCCAGCTGCCCCCAGGGCGCCCCTCCTGGGCCCGTCACCCCAAAGCTGTCCCCACCACCTTCCACAACCTCCCCCACTAGGCTCGGGCCAATGCTGGCTGGGCTGGTGCAGGCCAGGATCCGCAGGCGAAAGGACCTCTGGTGGGCCTGCTGGGGCCAGCGTGCAGCTGCCACCCCCAGCCGGCCCCCTCTGCCAGGGCCGGGGAGCCACCTTGTCTTCCTGGGGACGGGCTGACAGGTGGTTCTGGCAGCGGCAGACCCCTCGGGTGCCGGCAGGGTACAGGAGCCCCGGCCCTGAGCAGCGGGGGAAGGGCCTCCCGCCTGGCTGGACTTGCTGCCAGCGCCCAGTGCGGAGGGCTGCTCCCAGCTGCCTAGGCCTGCAGACCCTGCGGCACCGCCCACAACCCCATCTGCAGCCTTCCCCGCCAGCCCTGTGAGCAGCCCCCTTCCCAGCTGCTCCCCCTCCCCAGACCCCACTCCTACTGGCCCTCAGACACGCCCTTCCTCCTTCTGGTGACCTTGGACCTCAAGCTGGGGCAGGAAAGATTCAAACCAAGCGGTCTCCCTGGGAGGCATCACCCACTGGCTACGTAGGCGATGGCCAGCAGTGCCCACTGGTGTGAGGAGGCATGGGGGGGGAGCTCAAACCTCAGGGGGCAGCCCAGCAGGGCCCTTCCAGAACCCCTGGTCCGGGGCACCTCCACCTTGAGGCTCCTCCCCTGCCTCAACCCCTCCTGCAGTCTCCTCTCTGCCTGTCATGGCGGTGCAGCTCCAGGGACCCTGATTTTTAATCGCCCGCTTGCTCCCCGCTCACGGCCTCCTCCCCCTGTGCCGAGGGGCCGTCCCCTTACTGACCTGCACAGGCAGCCCCCCGAAACCTCTGCTCCCACCTTTGCCTTTGAGGTGGCAGCCGGAAGTCCAGGAGCTGATCGACCAGCTGCAGGGGGAGCTGACCAGCCAGCCCTCTCCTCCCAAGAGCAAGGCCAAGGTCACAGAGCCCAGGGAGTTCAGCCTGACCACCCCCAGGCCCCGCGCCATCCCCGTGCCTGAGCTGGTCCCTAAGGTGGCCAAGACCAGACCGGTAAGTGGAACCAGTCTCCATGGGCCCGACCCGTGAAGGCAGGGAGCGTGGGCCGTGTGGGCCGGGGTGGAGCTGGGTTCTTCCAGGGCTGAGGGCGCATGGGCCAGACCAGGAGCATTTGATGCCCCCACCACCCTGTCTCACCCAGAGAGGGAAGCCCAGCTGACCCAGAGCCTGCCCAGGGGAGTGAGGTCTGGTCAGTAGGCATGGAGTGAAGCCGGTGGCCACAGGATGCAGGCCTGTCTCACTTAGCACTCAGAGCCCTCTTTAACCCTGTTGCTATGCACCTCTCCCTCCCCACAGTGTACGTGTGTGTGTGTGTGTGTGTATGCAGGCTTTCCCCACCTCGGGGTCTCTGCCTGTCTATCCCATCTGCCTAGACCCTTTTTCGCTGCCTCCCCCTGCCCTGCGTTGCTGACGTCTCTCAGTCAAGATGCTTCTTATTACAAGGAAAGAGAGCTCAGTCTGGCTTAGACAATAGAGAACTAGCCAACTCTCACGGCTGAAGTAGGATCAGCTTCAGGCATAGTTTAATCAGGGTGCTGGAGCTGCCTCTTTGTGACTCTCTTTCCCCTAGACCCCTCTGAGGGTCGGCTTGATCTTTGGGCTGACTTCCCTCATGGTAGCCAAACATCCAGGCCTCATGCCCACAACTCACTGTCTGGGGCATGAGAGTACATCTAGGGCCAGGAATTCTGTGACAGTATGATTAGACCAACGGAGGTTGCATGTCTGCCCTTGACCTGATCACCATGACTGGGAGTGCAGGGTCTGACAGGTCTTGGGCTCCACCCTGAGCGCCTGTGATGGACTCAGCTTCCCAGAACCAATCGCATCCCCCAGCAGAACTAAGGAGTACATGAAGGCTGAAGGGATGGTGCTGGAAAGTCCCAGGGTCCCAGCCCACTCCCACCACCTGTCGGGTCTCCTTACAGCCTCTTCCCTGAGAGGCTTTCCATGGACCCCTTGCCTCTATCAGCTCTCTCAATTTCCTTTTCGTTGACCCAGATCCTTTTCTTCACGACATTAATTCGTTTTTATGGTTTTTATTAGTCTTATTAGTTTTCATGGTGTGGCTTGTCACCTCGGTCTCCCTTCCGCTGCGCCCCCCCCCCCCCCAACCAGGTCCCCAGGAGCACCTACCAGCCGCCCAAGGAGCAGCGGCTGCTGGAGATGACCAAGAGATACAACCGCTGGCAGGCCGAGGTGGGCGGGCTACACAGGGAGACCCCCGTGGGGGTGCCAGGGAGGGAGGAGGGGAGGGGCGGCGAGTCGGCCTGTGCGTCCGTGGCCGGGGTCCGCGTGGCGGCCGGTGGGGCTGGAGCCGTCTGTCCCTGCGCAGGAGCTGCTGCTGCGGGCTAACATCGAGGAGCTGCGCTGCGCGCTGCCCAGGAGCCGCGGGGAGCCCCCGCTGCAGGTGACGCCCGCCCCGCCCCCACGCCCTGGGCGGGGCTTCACAGACAGGCCCCTCCCTGTGCCACGGGAGGGCGGGGCCCCGAGACGCCGGCCGCGTGCCGTCCGGGCCAGCAGGGGCAGCCTGTCCGGCTGCTTCCAGGTTTTCCCACACTGAGCATTTAACATTTCTGTAAGAGACACCCCAAGATGTGTTTGTCAATAAAGAAAGTCAGGGAGCTGGGCCGGGAGGCCCCAGGCTGGGTGGACGCTGAGCGGTGCTCCCTTGGGAGAGGTTGGCCTGTTCCCCCCCCCCCCCGCCCACCACCACCACAGTGGACTCGCCCGGGTGGCAGCGGATGGGCCAGAGGTGAGCCTCCCCCGGCAGTGGGGGCAGGCCAGGGGAGTGGGCACCCCGCCCGGGAGCAGCGTGCCCTGGTGTCACGGCCGGGTGCTTGTGTGGGGGCTGCCTCTCACCAGCTGCTGTGCCGTGGACCAACGTACCCACCTTGAGGGGGTCAGCAGAGCAGAAGGCCGGGCAGGGAGCAGCCGGGCCGTCCCGGGGCGGCCCCGGGGCCGCGGGGAGAGGGCCCCTGAGCCCGCAGGCTCCAGCCCCCTGTCTGGGAACCGCGGTCCCCTGCCGGCATGCCAGCCCCAAACCCTCCCTACCCGCTCGGGCGGCTGGAGGGCCCTAGAGGGACCTGCCCAGGGGCCCCACGCGGGGCGAGCTGGGCAGAGGGGAGTGGGCCAGGCCTCCCTGGGGTGCATTTGGGGGCACCCGTGTGCACAGGTGCCAGGCCCTGACTCCCGCAGGACTCCGAGAAGAAGCCGCGGCTCCGGCTCCCGCCTCGTATCCTCAAGACCCGGAAACTGACCTTCTACACGGTGAGCGGTGCTCCTGGGGCCTCTCCCCACGCGCCCGCCTCCGGGTTTGTCCCCCTGAGGACATCCTGGCCCTTACGGCTGAGGGGAGCGCCGGGCAGAGGGCTGGTGTGGAGGGCAAGGGGGCACTGGCTGCTCCGAGGCCGCCCCCCACCCCTGTCACAGCCTGCCCCCGCCCTCTCCCGCAGCCTAACGACAACGCCCCGGTCAAGCTCAACACGGCCGCCATCCTGCGCGAAGGGGCCTTGTACCAGCGGCAGGTGGAGAAGGAGCTGCAGAGGTGGGGACTGGAGGGCCTCGGGCGCCCCTTGCGGGGTCCGGGGGTGGGGAGCAGCAGCGACCCACCCGAACAGCCCCAGGGGCTCAAGAAGGCCGGCGTCAGGGTCACGGCCGCAGCCAAGGAAGCTCAGCGCCACTCGGCGAGGAGATGGGCAGACAGGAGGAGGCGGCTCAGGGAAACCCGGCCACCCCACCCCTCCCTGAGGGGCCCTCTCCCCTAGAGCGCCCCGGCTGCAGGCCCTGGTCTCACCCTGAGAGCTGGGCTGCGGGGGGAGCTTGGGTGTCTGACCCGCTGGATGAGAAGACGGACAGAGGGACAGAGCGGTGGCGGATGGACAGATGGGTGGGCGGGGGCGGAGGACAGACGGACACAGGTGAGCGGACAGACGAGCGGTTGAAGGGACGAGGGGGGAGACGCGGCCAGAGGGTGGGTGCACACTCAGGACCAGGGCAGGCGGGCGGTGTGGGGCCGGGTGTCCCGTGCAGAGCGGCCACGCCCCCCGGGGGGACCCTGGGCTCCGGGCGGGCCTCACGGGAGCCGCCAGCGGGCCCGCCGCCCCCTCTCCCCAGGGTGGACCGGCTCGTGGACGGGGCCGGGGACTTCTCCGAGTTCCTCGAGTGGCAGAGGCGGATGCAGGCGAAGGACCGGGAGGAGCAGCTGGCCGCGGGCGAGGTCCGCCGGCTGCGGGGGAAGCTGAGCCACGAGGAGGCGGCGCTGGCGCGGCAGCAGGTGGCGCAGGAGAAGAGGCGGACGGCAGAGCTGAAGAAGGAGGAGGTGACGGCAGTGGGGGGTGCGGGGCTGCCCGCGGTCGCTGACCCACCCCTTTCCTCCTAAACCCACAGAACCACTCTGGGTCCTGGGGCCTCGTGTGGCCTGGGCCAGGCGGGGGGCGGGGGGGAGGGGAGGAGCGTCTGGAGTCTGGGGTCAGCGGGCCTCAGTGGGACGACTGGCCAGCACCTCCGGTCCAGGCTGCCCCCCGCGCCTACTAGCAGGGTCGGTTGGTCCCCGCACCTACACGTTGGGGGGAGACCGGAGATCTGAGGGAAACTTCCAGGAGGCAGACATGTTTGCATAAGACGCGAGAGGGTATGTGGGTCGCCCATGTTTCCAGTTAGGATACTCTGGACATCACAGGAGGCATGGCCTGGCTGGGGGCGCCCTGCCCGTGTCCTGTCCAGGGGGCCTGGTGGGGGCCTGGACGAGGCAGGAACTTACAGGGCCCAGGGACATGACAGGAGCCCAGTCTTGTTAGCTGTGCCACTAAGGGCCTGAGTCGGCAGGTATGCCCCAGGTTCACACATAGCATTTCTCCGGGCAGACGCGTTTGTGTCTGTTCTTCACATTGTTGTTCAGTTGTACAGTTGTATCCAACTCATTTGGACCCCATGGTCTGCAGCTCGCCAGGCTTCCCTGTGCTTCACTGTCTCTCAGAATTTGCTCAAACTTATCTCTATGGAGTCAGTGATGCTATCCAACCATCTCATCTTGTCGTCCCCTTCTCCTGCCTTCAGTCTTTCCCAGCATCAGGGTCTTTTCCAGTGAGTCAGTTCTTTGCATCAGGTGACCAAAATATTGGAGCTTCAGCGTCAGCATCAGTCCTTCCAATGAGTATTTAGGACTGATTTCCTTTACGATGGACTGGTTGGATCTCCTTGCTGTCCAAGGGACTCTCAAGAGTCTTCTCCAACGCTTCACAGTTAGACAGCATCAAAAATTCAGCATTCAGTTTTCTTATGGTCCAACTCTCACTTCCATATCTGACTACTGGAAAAACCACAGTTTTGACTAGATGGACCTTTGTTGGCAAAGTAATGTCTCTGCTTTTTAATATGCTATCTAGGTTGGTCATAGTTTTTCTTTGAAAGAGCAAGCATCTCTTAATTTCATGGCTGCAATCACCATCTGCAGTGATTTTGGAGCCCAAGAAAATACAGTCTGTCACTGTTTCCATTGTTTCCCCATCTATTTGCCATGAGTGATAGGACCAGATGCCATGATCTTCGTTTTTTGAATGTTGAGTTTTAAGCCAACTTTTTTACTCTCCTCTTTAACTTTCATCAAGAGGCTCTTTAGTTCCCCTTTGCTTTCTGCCTTAAGGGTGGTATCATCTGCATATCTAAGGTTATTGATATTTCTCCCAGCAGTCTCAATTCCAGCTTGTGCTTCATCCAACCCAGCATACTGCATGACATACTCTGCGTATAAGTTAAATAAGCAGGGTGACAATATACAGCCTTGACGTACTCCTTTCCTGATTTGGAACCAGTCTCTTGTTCCATATCCAGTTCTAACTATTGCTTCTTGACCTGCATACAGGTTTCTCAAGAGGCAGATCAGGTGGTCTTGTATTCCCATCTCTCAGAATTTTCCACAGTTTACTATGATCCACACAGTCAAAGGCTTTGGCATAGTCAATAAAGCAGAAATAGATGTTTTTCTGGAATTCTCTTGCTTTTTCTATGATCCAACGGATGTTGGCAATTTGATCTCTGGTTCCTCTGCCTTTTCTAAATCCAGCTTGAACATCTGGAAGTTCTCAGTTCATGTACTGTTGAAGCCTATATTGGAGAATTTTGAGCATCACTTTTCTAGTGTGTGAAATGAGTGCAATTGTGCAGTTGCTTGAACATTCTTTGGCATTACCTTTCTTTGGGATAGGAATGAAAACTGACCTTTTCCAGTCCTGTGGCCACTGCTGAGTTTTCCAAATTTGCTGGTATTTTGAGGGCAGCACTTTCACAGCATCATCTTTTAGGATTTGAAATAGCTCAGCTTGTATTCCATCACCTCCGCTAGCTTTGTGTGTGTGATGCTGCCTAAGCCCACTTGACTTAGGACTCCAGGATGTCTGGCTGTACATGATCACACCACCGTGGTTATCTGGGTCACTAAGATCTTTTCTGTGCTGTTCTTCTGTGTATTCTTGCCACCGCTTCTTAATCTCTTCTGTTTCTGTTAGGTCCATACCATTTCTGTCCTTTATTGTGCCCATCTTTGCAGGAAATATATCTTAGTATCTCTAATTTTCTTTAAGAGCTGTCTAGTTGTACTGAATGTATGATTTGCAAATACCATCTCCCATCCCACGTGTGTGGGTGCTCAGTCATGTCTAACTCTTTGCGATCCCATAAACGGTGGTAAAGTTTTTTTTACCGACATTTTTTTTTTTTTACCTGCCTCAGCTGGTAAAGAATCTGCCTGCAATATGGGAGACCTGGGTTGGGAAGATCCCCTGGAGAAGGGAACAGCTACTCACTCCAATACTCTGGCCTGGAGAAGTCCATGGACTCCATAGTCCATTGGGTCGCAGAGTGGGACATGACCGAGCGACTTTCACTTACCTGTTAAGGAAAGTAACCCTTTAACTATAATATATTATTACAGGTATTTTGTTCCAGTTACTCATTTGGCTTCACTTGAATGATGTGTTTTGGCCTTGCAAATGTATTTTCTTTTTTTTTTTTTTTGCAAATGTATTTTCATGTCATCAAACTTATCAGTCTTCTCTTTCATTGTATCTGGATTTTGAATAGCGAGGAAGGTTTTTCCCATGCGCATGGTGTGGAAGAATTCAGCCTTATTTTCTTCTAGCATTTGTGTGGTTTTATTTTTAAATCTGGATCTCTATCCACTTGAAATTTATTCTCGTACGTGGTGTTAAGATCCGAATCCAGCAGATGCCATGCAGTTTAGTCGTCCAGTCCTTGAATGCAGTATGTGTCTCCACTTGTTTCAATCTTTTATTTCTTTCATCTGGTTATTTAGGTTTCTGTGTGTAAGTCCTATAGAAGTTTGTTAGACTTGCACCTAAGTATTTCTTCCATGATTTTCGAGTGGTTGTGGATGGCATTGTATTTTCAATTTTGGTGTCCACATAGTGAATGCCAGTCTGTAAAATACAGTTGGTTTTGTGTGTCGTTCCTGTGTCCTGTGGCCTCACTAAACTCCCTTATTAGTTTTTTAGGACAAACCAGACAGTTTGTCATAGATTCCTTGGACTTCTCTCTGTGACAGTCATTTCATCTTTTATTCCTTCCTTTCCAATCTGCATTCCATTTATTTCCTCCTCTTGCCTGTTGCACTGGCTAGTTCACCATCTTGGGGAAATCAGTCTTTCACTATTAAGTATAATGTTAGATGTCGGGTTTTTCGTAGATGTGCACTTTATCAAGTTGATTAATTCCCTTATATTCCTGTTTTTCTGAAAGCTTTTATCAGGAAATTTTGCGAAACGGTTCTCTGGATCAATTGATACAGTCATGTGATCATCTTTAGCCTGTTAATACAGTGGATTACATTGACTGATTTTCAAATGTTGAACCAGCTTTGCATTCTAAGAATAAACCCCACTTGATTGTGGTGTTTGTATAATTCTTTTTTATGTAGGTTGAATTCTATTTGCTACTATTTTGATTTTCTTAGAGTTGTTCTTACATGTAGTTTCTTAAGTAGTGTTAGTCTATAGTTTCCCTTTTTTGGAATGTCGTTTGTCTGGTTTTGGTATCAGGGTAATTATAACTTCATAAAATGAATTTGGAAGTGTTTTCTCCTCTCGTTTTCTAGGAAAGATTGTGTAAAATTGATACTCACTCTTTCAACACATGGTAGGGTTCTTTAGTGAAATCATCTGGGTTTGGAGTTTTCTTTTTTGGACGTTTCTAAATTAGAAATTCAACTTTCTTACAAGTTACAGGGCTATTCAAACGATCTGTTTCATTTTGGGTAAGTTGTGGTAGTCTCTGTTTTTGAGAAGTTGTCCATTTTACTAAGCTGCCAAATTTATGAATGTAAGAGTTGTTTTTAAGCTTCTGTTACTATCCTTTTTAATGTCTGTAGGGTCTAAAGCATTTCACTCCTGATACTGATGATTTTGTGTTTGTTCATTTATTCTGTAAGCATTGCTAGAGATTTGTCAATTCCATTGATATTTTCAAAGAACTAGCCTCTTGTTTCATTGATTTTTCTCTCCTGTTTGACTGTTTCCAGTGTTATTGATTTCTGCTCTTTATTATTTCCTTCCTCCTGCTTGCGTTGAGTTTATTTTGTTCTTTTCCTGGGTTCTTGAGATGGGAGGTGGGTTACTGACCCAAGACTTTGCTGCTTTTCCATTGTGAGCGCCCAGTCTTGCGCTTTCCCATTTATTTGTTGCTTTGTCTGTGTCCACAAATTTTGGTCTGTTGTATTTCACTTTCACTCAGTTCAGCGTACTTTTTCATTTCACTTGAAAATATCTCTTTGCCCCATGGATTATCTAGGAGTATGTTGTTTAGTTTCCAAGCATTGGTTCTTTTTCATGATTGGTTTCCGGTTGATTCCATCGTGGTTGTTGAACATACTCTGCGCTATTTATTTCAAATTTGTTGAGCTTATGTCTTTCATAATCGCTTGTTGAAGCATTTTAACGATGGCTTCTTTAAGAACCACCATCAGATCCAACACTTCTGTGACCTCGGTGCTGGTGCCTGCTGACTGTGTCTTCATTGTGTGGAGACCACCCTGGCTTGTGGTGTGATGACCGGTTGAAACCCGGACCTTCTGGGTATTCTGTTCCAAGCGTCTGGGTCTCATTTAAGCCTTCTGTCTGAGCTGCCCCTCTCTGACGCTGCTCTGGCAGAGGAAGGGGGGCACCACCACGTTACTGCCAGGCAGGCTCATCAGCCCTCCCTCCCCACGTGCCTCTGCTGACCCCGAGAGGGGCTACTGATGAGGCCAAGGGCTCCGCTCGTCCTCCACCGACAGCTGCCTGAGCGGGAGTGGCAGGAGCACCTTAGAACCGCCCCCGCGTGGCCCTCACTGTCACGTGGCAAGCGTGAGGGGAAAGCCCTCACTTGGCACTCGTCTTCCCCTGACGCCACCCTGGTGGGGGGTGACGGGACCCTTGTTGCCATGGGTGGGGGTAGACGCCAGGTTGCTGAGCTCACTGCCGGGTCTCCTCTGGCACAGCGGACCCGTGGGGCAGGTCCCTGCTCAGAAGGCCGTGCACCGTCTCCCACGGCTCGGGGAAGTTCACGCCCGCTCAGCCTTGCCCAGGTTCCGTCTGTGGCGTCTGGCTGGAGCACAGGCTGTGCTGCGCCGTCTTCCGTCTCTCTAGGTGGGTACCTTCCCCGGTGGCTCAGACGGTAAAGAACCTGCCTGCAGTGCGGGAGACCTAGGTTCAACCCCTGGGTCAGGAAGATCCCCTGGAGAAGGGAATAGCAACCCACTCCAGTGTTCTTGCCTGGGAAACCTCACGGATAGAGGAGCCTGGTGGGCTGCAGCGCATGGGGTGGCAAAGGGTCGGACACGACTGAGCAGCTGACAGTAGTTGGAGACAGCGGGCTGTGGTCGGGCTTTTTTGTCAGTGCCTGTGGCATTTTGGGGGCCTTCAACCCCCAGCCTGGAACACACGAGGTAAAAAGGAGGCCAGGGACCCCACCACCATGCCATTCTTCAGGTCCTGCGGTCCTAGCCAGCCGGCCTTCTTCCCTCCACTGTTCACTGTCTTTGTATGCTTTTGGTTTTTGTTTTTTTTTTTTTTAATATTTATTCATTTGGCTGTGCCAGGCCTTAGTTGCAGTATTCGTTGTGATTGTTATTCAGCTGACTTTTTTGTGACGCCATGGAACTGTATCCCGCCAGGCTTCTCTGTCCATGGGACTTCCCAGGCAAGAATACTGGAGTGGGTTGCCATTCCCTTCCCCCAGGGATCTTCCTGGCCCAGGTATCCAACTCATGTCGTCGCCTGCGTTAGCAGGTGAATTCTTTACCTCTGAGCCACCAGGGAAGCCTTAGTTGCCGCATGTGCGATCTAGTTCCCTGACCAGGGATCGAACCCGGGCCCCCCCCGCATTGGAAGCATGGAGCCTTAGCCACTGGACCACCAGGGAAGTCCCTGTATGTTTGATAATTTATATTCAGGGGTTTTAGCTGTGCCAGGTGGGAGTAGTAGGGCAAAGTGCCCCCACCCCGTCTTCCCAGACGTGGAAGTCCCGGGTGTCAATTCTCATAAAGGCTTTTGCACCGTCTGTGAAGAGAACCCACTTTTCCTCCCAACCTCTATGCATGTGTTGAATTGTATGAGGGATTTCTTAATGCTAGCCCATCCTTGCCTTCTTGGGATGAGTCCCGTGCAGTGGGGCCCACGAAGCCGCGAGGCCAGTCTGGCCCCTGAGCAGACTCCGGGCCGGACCTCGGGCCCGAGGGTTACGTCCGGGCAGACAGAGCCGAGAGCTGGCCCGGGGCTCCAGGCGCCCTGGCGGCCCGTGCCCTCCTCCCGCAGGCCGGGGCCATCTTCTGCGCCTCTCTGTGTCTCCTCCTCTTCTTATCCTGACACTTGTCATCGGGCATCCTGCACCCTCCCAGGTGGCACAGTGATAAGGGCCGCCTGCCAATGCAGGCGAGGCGGCGGATGAGGGTTCAGTCAGGTGTCCCGGAGAACGTCAGTCTGTTGGGATGGCCGGCCGGGTGTGGCAGGAAGACCACAGAGGCTGCGGGCCTTCTCCTCACATCCCATCAGGGTTCCTGCCATCAGCAAACTCATCGCTGAGCACGCTGGCCTTGATCACCCGACTTCTTGCCAAGGGCCTTGCCCCTCCCACGCTGCGCTCTTTGGAAGGGGTCTCTCAGTGGAGCCCACACTCAAGGACGTGGGGGATTGAGTGGAATTCTTCAGCACAGAACGCTGGTCTCTTCTCCCCCACTTGCTCACTTATTCACCCATGCATATTTATTCTATACTTTGTGTTATAATCCAACACGACGTGACTTATTCTGTTGCCAGCTTTGGTCACTGGGAGCCCCTTTGGGCTGACGCCCGTGTCTCTTTAACATGCCCCCCAATCCCCAGTCACTCTTTTGTCTCTCGAGCATCTCCTTCCTTTTGTTAGGGGCTTCCCAGGTGGCACTAGTGGTAAAGAACCCATCTGCCAGTGCAGGAGATGTAAGAGACGCAGGTTCGATGCCTAGGTTGGGAAGATACCCTGGAGGAAGACATGACACCCCACTCCGGTATTCTTGCCTGGAGAATCCCATGCACAGAGGAGCCTGGAGGGCTAGTCCGTAGAGTCGCAGGGTCCGACCAACTGAGCGAGTTAGCACGCACGTCACTGTTGTTGTTGCTTAGTTGCTAAGGACTATAGCCCGCCAGGCTCCTCTGTCCATGGGATATCCCCGGCAAGAATACTGGAGTGGGTTGCCATGCCCTCCTCCAGAGGATCTTCCTGACCCAGGGATCGACCCCACGTCTACGGCGCTGCAGGCGGGTTCGATTCTGCCGAGCCACTTGCGAGGCCCCCTCCTTCCTCTACAATGCCGTAAAACGCTCCAGGCTCATCTTGTATCTTCTCCTCCTCAGACATAAAGTGGCCGTCTCTCCGAGGACCCTAGTTCCTTTCCTTAGAACCTGGGATGAACTTGCACAGAGAAGGGTGGCCACGAGCCAGTTTACGTGTGCTGGCAGAGTGCTTCACCAAGGCCTCCTTCCTGCCCAGCGTGCCTGGAGTCCATGCCACCAGCACCAGACCCTCCACATGCCACGTGGGCTGAAATGAACCCCAGCTGCCAAGGCCTCTGGGACTGGGAGTCCAGGGCGCCCCCTGGCGGCACTGGGCAGTGATGGGAGGTGCACATCCCACCCTGTCCTTTGTGGCATCTTTTTTTCTTTTTTAAATGGAGAGTCTTCAAAGAATTTTCTGTTTATTTTTTGGCTGCATGGGTGTCCGTTGCTGCGCGTGGGCTTTCTCCAGCTGTGGTGAGCGGCGGCTTCTCTTCTTCTCGCCGAGCCTGGGCCCTGCAGCGCACAGGCTTCAGTGGTTGTGACGCACGGGCTTGGCTGTCCCACAGCACATGGCATTTTCCCAGACCAGAGATCGAACCTGTGTCCTCTGCACTGTCAATTCAGTTCAGTCGCTTCTGACTCTTTGCGACCCCGTGGACTGCAGCATGCCAGGCCTCCCTGTCCATCACCAACTCCCAGGAGTTTTCTCAAACCCATGTCCATTGAGTCGGTGATGCCATCCAACCATATCATCCTCTGTCATCCCCTTTTCCTCCCACCTTCAGTCTTTCCCAGCATCAGGGTCTTTTCCAGTCAGGTCTTCATATCAGGTGGCCAAAGTGTTGGAGTTTCAGCTTCAGTATCAGTCCTTCCAATGAATATTCCGGACTGATTTCCTTTAGGATGGACTGGTTAGATCTCCTTGCAGTCCAAGGGATTCTCAAGAGTCTTCTCTAACACCACAGTTCAAAAGCATCAATTCTTTGGCACTCAGGTTTGCATTGTCAGGCAGATTCTTAACCGATGGACCACCAGGGAAGTCCAATTTGTAGTATCTTGAAGACTGAAAATAATATTCTGAATTGTTCACGATAGCGCCAAACGGGAAACAACCTGAATGTGTCTCAATGGTAGGATGGATCAAAGAGTTGTGATATATTCCCTGAAACAGCCATGAGAGTAAGCCAACTGCAATCCCAGTGAACACGTGGGTGAGGCTGGAACCCCTGACGCAGAGCAGAAGAGAGGAGCTGGGACGCAGGGCCTGTGATGTGGTTCACAGTGGCGGGAGCACGCCCTGCGGTTCAGGGCTGTGCATATCAGAGGCTCCAGGAGAAAGAGGAGTGTGGGAGGATGCACGTCCATCAGGACGTGCCCGGGGCTCCCCTGGAGCCTGGCCTGTGCCTGTCGTGGGCAGAATCTGGACAGCTGGCCCCACGTGGCTGCAAAGCGAGGAGGGTCCTCCTCTGTGACCTGGAGTGAGCAGTGGGTGGGCTTCAGGGCAGACCTGGGGCCCTGACCCAGTTTCCCCCCGGCTCTGTTTGCTGCCCTCCTCGGCGGCCCTGTCGGATCTGGGGCCGTGGCGGCCTGGTTCTGGGCTCAGCCCCATAGGGGAGGCCAGGAGGGCGTGAGGTGGGAATTTCCTGCAGGCCTGACCCCCCGGAAGCTGGCGAGCCTAAACCCAGGTTCCTGGGTGATTCAGGGCCAACCTCAGCGGCTCAGGGGCCAGAGCGGGCTGCTCTGATGGTGGCCGGTTGTGTCCAGACAGCTGAGCTGATGCAGCGGTGCGCAGAGAGGCGCCTCCAGGAGGAAAAGTCCATGAAGGAGCTGGTGGAGCAGGTGATAGAGACACAGAAGAATGTCAAGGTGGCGCAGACGGAGCTCCGGAAGGGCCGCCGGCGGATAGGTAGGGGGTGGGGGGGGGGCGCCGTGCCCTCCCAGGAGCTACCCCCGGCCCCGGGGCCGGCCGGCTGCTCTCCGAGCCCCTCAGCGCCCCGCTTGGCCCCCAGCTCAGGAGGTGACGGAGGAGAACCGGGAGCTGCTGCAGCGCAGCGCGGAGGCGGCCAAGGAGGAGCAGAAGCGGCGCTGCGACCTCGTCTCCCAGCTGCGAGCCCTGGAGTTTCAGCCCACGCGCAGGGGCAAGCTGGTGGACCTGACCCAGGTGAGGCTGCCGCCCTGGGGCCTGCGCCCGTCCAGCGACCTCTGGGGGCGGGGGTGGGGGAGGCTTCCTCGCGTCTTCCTGGGCCTGGCGTCCTGCGGAGGGTGCACCCACGATTCCCACCAAGGCCGAAGGCGGTCTGGACCCCAGCTGGGGTCCACCCGGCCACTCACGTCCAACTGCCCCCTGCCCGCTGTGCTGGAGGACCCGGTCCGGGGAGGCCTCTGGCACCCGGGGGGCCAGCGGGCAGCTTCACAGACTTGCGCATTGAGGGAGGCCCCGGGACTCACTAGGCCTGCGTGGCAAGTGCACTGGAGGGACGGCGCGGGTGCTGGATGGGCAGGGGCCTGAGGCGGGCAGCAGCCCCCGGAGGCCCGTGTGGGAAACCCCACGAGAGGCCAGGCTGGCACGCGAGGATGGACCCGGTGTGGGGTTTAGGCCTGGTCCCCGGCTGTGCAGAGTCCGACGGGCTCTCTGCCTGGACCCCCAGGTCTCGGCTAGGGAGACAAGGCTGAGCTCCACGGGGGCCCTGCCAGCGCGGAGGGCCCCACCAGGCCCCTAGCTGAGCTGTCCCGGCGCAGGTCGAGGGCTGCGGAGGGGGCCCAGGTGGGAGAAGCGTGACGGCGCATGTTGCCACACAGGCCCCGCCGAGTGGACGGGTGGCCGCCTGGGCACGGGGCCAGGCCTGTGGCCTTCAGGAAGGATGATGGAGCCGGTGCAGCGGGAAAGCCAGGGGCTGGGGCCAGCCGGGAAGGGTTGGGCCTGGCTCCTGGCCTGGGGCCTCCCCCAACCCCAGTCCTCCTGCAGATCCCTGGCCACGGCCTGGAGGGCGAGATGTCGGTCGTGGAGCTGCGTGAGCGGCTGGCCCTCCTCAAGGAGACCCGGCGTCGCCAGGAGGCGGAGCGGCGAGACCAGATCATCCAGGGCAAGCGCGCCAAGAGCCGGGAGCTGCGGGGCATGCTGGGGCAGGCGGCGCTGTGCCGCGCTGCCATGGGGAGGTCTGCAGCCCTGAGGTGGGTGCCGGCGGCGCCGCGGCGGCAGCCTGAGCAGGCCGGGGTGGGGCGCCTGCCTTTCCCCCCTGCCCCCGGGGGTTTTCCTCACAGCCACCCACCACCCTCCAGTCAGTTCCCTTGCGATCTCTTCCCCCACCCGACTGTTTTCTTAGACAAGTCTCAGCCTTCAGAAAGGGTGGGGAAAAAGCCTGCGGTGACCCTCAGATAAGCCGGGCCACACCCGTTAGCCCTGCGCTTCATCTATTAATAGCAAGCCACCCACTTAATGGGTTTGTGCAGAAGTTGGGAAGTGTGTGCTTAGTCACTCAGCCGTGTCTGACTCTTTGCCACTGGACTGTAGGCTCCTCTGTCCATGGGGATTCTCCAGGCAAGAATACTGGAATGGGCAGCCTTTCCCTTCTCCAGGGGATCTTCTCAACCCAGGGATGGAACCCAGGTCTCCCGCATTGCAGGTGGATTCCTTACTATCTGAGCCACCAGGGAAGCCCATGAATAATGCAGTGGGTAGTCTATCCCTTCTCCAGGGGAATCTTCCCAGCCCAAGAATCGAACTGGGAGCTGAGCTACCAGGGAAGCCCATGCAGGTTTTGGACATTTCATTCATATATGCTCTGGTGTGCATCTTCTGAGAAAAACACAGCCCTACATAACCACAGCACAGTGACACAGCTAGAAACGAACAGACTCCCAGCACCATCTAAATACCCTGTCCCTGGTCACCTCTCTCCAAGGATCCCAAAACTGTTCACTATAGCTTGAAAAGATCGAGTACTATAACTTTTTTCTTTTTAAACTAGGACCTGAGGCAGGTGGAGGGGGGTGGGTCACACGTAGCATCTGGTTGGCAAACATCTCTTTCAATGGAAAGCACATGGACACACACACACGCTTTTTTGTTTTGGGAACACTGTGGTGACTTTTCGGGCCCGTGGGGCCTGGTATGGAAAGATGTGCACAGACAGTGGAGTATTAGCAGCGGCAAGCTTTAGGCAAGAGCGGGGAAGGCAGGGTAAGATGAAAGGGCGGTGGCTTTTCTCATCCCCGAAAACGTGCATAAGCAAAGCTGTGGAATACTCTTTCAACTGTGAAATACAAGGAGCAAAAAGACAAGAGGCGCCGGGGAGAACCCTCCCGGGGTGGATCCCCGGGGATGTGTGGGGGGGGGCTCTCCCCTGGCACCTAAACCCCTCTGGTCCACCGCGGCGGGGCCCTGCCAAGCCGGCCCCTCCGCCCGCCCAGGTGGGAGGAGAAGGCGCGGTGGGCGGCCGCCGGAGCGCCCTCCCAGGACGAGCGTGTGCTCGAGCTGCAGCGCCGGATCCAGGAGAAGGCGGCCCAGCGGCGCGCGCAGGCGGCCTCGGGGCACGTGCCGGCGCCGCGGGCCATGCGCCCCAAGCAGCGGGTGAGCCCAGGGGCGGCCGCGAGGGCGCGCCGCGCGGGGGTCGGGGACGCCGGCGTGGGACGCGAGGTGCGGGGTGGGGGGTGGGGGGTCGCGCCGGTGGGGCGCGCTGGGAAGCCGCGTCCGGCTGCCGGGGAGCGCCGTGCGCCGACCTCCACCGCCCGCCCGCAGGCGCAGCTGGAGGCGCAGCGCAGGCTGGAGCTGGAGCGGAGCCGCGAGCGCTGGCTGCGGGCGCAGCAACCCGGATGCGGACCCGCGCGCCGCCTGGGGGCCGCCTGAGCCGTGCGGCCTCCCCTCGCCCCCACCCAGGATCCCGAGACCCCAGCCCGAATGAAGACCGCGGGGCCGTGCCGCCTGCCCCGCTCCACCAGCCTCCGCTCGCCCAGAGCAGGGGTGCCAAATAAAAGGCGGGACGCCCAGTTATTGCGTGGGACAAACATGCTAAGAAAGTATCCGCTGGAATTCAGTTTTATTGGGGCGTCTTGTATCTAATGTGCTAAACATGGCCACCCTGGTCCAGATCCTTGCCCTTCCCCACGCCCGCGCCCGAGTTCCCGGAGCCCGCAGTGCCCGTGGAAGCCTGGAATCTCCGTTCTCCGCCCGGACTTAGGTGGCCTAATCCGGGAACCCCCAAGACTCAGTGTGTGGTTGTGCGGGCGCAAACAGAGGTGGCCAGGATACTGAGTCACTGCCCGCTGGCCCTTCTCGTGCCTGACCTCCTAAACCTCAGTGGGGTTGGGGGGCTGACCCCCATGCCCCTTCTGCTGGAGACCGCCAGTGCTCCGAGAGGGGAAGTGAGCTGCCCGGACCCCTGGGACCCAAAGCTAGGCCTGGAGGCCTTTAGAGTAAGGCCCCGCCTTCCCCAGCCTAATGGAAGGAATGAGGTTGGAGCCACTGGGCAGGCGCCCTGGCCCAGGGCCTGGACAGGAACATATTGATTCCCCTGGTCCTCAGACCCGGGCCTGGGCTGCAGGTGCGTGGCTGAGGACCAGCTGGCTGAGTGAAGACTGCGCAGTGTGCTGCGGGTCCTGGGAGAGGATGGGCAAGCCGGTGGGGTGCCAGGCAGTAGGGCAGGGGCTGAACAATGCCAGGGGACGGATGTCCGGGAGAGGGACCCCATACTCACATCCTCCTTGGGCCTGCGGAGAAGAGGGCACCTCAGAGCGGGGAGGCAGGACCCCAGGGCACATCCAGACCAGAAGGGTGGACATCCGAAAGTGACAGGAACAGACTAAAGACCAGAGTTCTCCCCCAACATTCTCAACTGTGTCAGAACCTCAGGACTGCCCCGCAACCGAGGCTGGTAGAAAGAGGAATCTCCCACCTCCCTGTCAAATTAGAGCTGGGAGCAGATTAAATTTCATTCTTTTAAAAAGATGGCATTTCTTACATCCTTTGTTGAGTGATTCAAACCCATTTCATTTGATATCGAGGGAACACACTAATGATGACCAGGAGCGCAGATGGCTCCGAAAAGGGGAATTGCCACCTTCTGTAACCGGCGATTCAAAGGCAGGGCGGACTTCAGGCCACGCTTGGTCCAAGAGCTCCGACTCCAAGCTGGCAGCAGTTCCAATCTCACAGCGTCTGGAGGAAGGGCCGTCTCTCCCTGGCAGCTCTCTTAGGAGGGAAACCTCTCTGTCCTCCAAGCCTTGAGCTCTAGCCTCATTGGGTTGAACGTGCTCTGCTGAACAAGTTCCTGCAGTGAGGGAAGGTCTGCGTGGGGGCCCAGAGCAGGCCCTGTGACAAAGGCAGAGAATTTCCCCTCACCTGCCCGACTGGCCTCTGCAGCAGGGGGAGCAGTGGTGGTCCAGCAAACTCAGGGTGCTACTGGGAGTGATGCTGGTTGGTAGTCCACAGGGTACCCACCTGCCCTCCTGGACTGGGCGGCTGCTCAGAGCACCTTGAGAGAACCTGGGGCTTCTGTTCATATAGACCCCGTGGAACCTGCAGGGCAGCTCTCGGGCCATCTCCTGAGTTTATGGCCTGAGGGCCTGTCTTGTGGGGTAAACAGATGGCAACATGTTCCTTGCCTTGTAACTTCCCATCAGGAGGCAGAGTTTCATCTTCCCCCGTCCTTGAATCTGAGCTGACTTGCTTTGGCCCATAGGGTCCAGGAGGAGTGGCCGTGTGCCAGGTGACAGCCTGGACCTCAGGTGGCCTTGGAGGTCCCTCTAGTTCTTCACCTGGCCACAGTGCGGGCCTGTCCCAGGTGGCATGGTCCTATTGGGATGATCTAGTATTCTCAGAACAAGAGAGACAAGCTGGGCTCTTTTCTGGTTGCCAAATCCATGCCCAGGCCCAGTTCTGGGAGCTAAACTCAGGGAAGCCACCACAAGGCTCTCGAATCCCCATTCTGACATGCAGCCCCACCAGGGCTGGCACGCACCTTTGCTCAGAGTTGGGTCTTAGGACCCCCTGAGATAGGCACCCATGTCTTCTCCATACAACAGGCCAGGGAACCTTGAGACCTGCCTGAACCCTGGAGCTGGGATTCAAACTCAGGCAGGAGCGATCCAGGGTCCACACTCTCTGACTCCAGGAGACCTCCAGCCCGCTCTCCCAGGACCTGGCTGGGCCGGAAGCCGGCGGGAGTTCTCCTCCGTCTTCAGCCCTTTCCTGACACCTACAGCCTTCAGAATAATCAAGACTCTCAGCCTGACATCCGGACCCTCCAAGGTCTGCCTCTTGCCTCCCGCAACCCCCGTTGCTCCCAACCCCTGCACCCTGGCATACTGGACAGCCTTCAGCTCTCTGGTCATGCGTGCCCACCTTTGCCCACCCAGACCCCCTTTTCCTGGAACTGCTCTCCATTCTAGTCCTTTGGATGCTCAGCTAGCTCCCTCCGGGGATCCCTCCCAGACAGCCCGGTTGAGTGCCTCCCCCGGCTTCCCGCAGATGGGCCAGTCTGTGCTTCCTCCCTCCGTCCCATCTCCGCCAGCAGCCCTGTAAAGGCCCGGGATCGCGGGGACCAGCCGCGCGCGGGTCCCGGGCCTGGCGCGGCCAGGAGGCCAGATTGGAGGCGACGCAGATCCCAGGGAACCTAGGCCGAGAGAGGGGCGTGTTCCAGCCGGGACCACGACTCCCGGGAGGCCTTGCGCGCCAAGAGGCGCCGGCCGCTCCTCTCGCGGGAAGGTAGGAGCTTTTTTGAGTTCGCGGGCGTGGGCGGGGCCGGAAGCAAGGCGCGTTTCAAAGTGGTGATAGATGGTTTTCTTATCCAATAGGGTTGAAAATAGAGCCCCCTCCACGGGCGGACCGCGGGAGTTAGGGACGGCGGCGGCCAGTAGGGAGGCGCGGGGGCGGGGCCGAGGCCCCCGGAGAGGAAGTGGGTCGGTGCTGAGGCGGTGGCGGCGGCGGCGGCGTCGTCTGCTAGAGGTCTTCTCTGAAGCGGCTCGCGGAGGTGCTTCCCTCGCTCGAGTGCGTCGACCGCAGCGCCCGCTGAGCCTCCTCGGCGCCAGGCAGGGCTCGGCTTCGCGGAGGCGGGGGGGGGGGGGGGCGGGCGGCAAGCCACCGCCGAGCGGGTTCGGGGGGTTTTTGTGGCCTCGCGCGGCCTGAGAGGCCTCGGCGCCGCGTCCCGAGGAGCCGCCGGGGCGCGGCCGACCCCGCTCGGGCCCCGACCCACGGCCGAAAATCTCTCCCAGGGCCCCGCGCGGGGGCCGCAGGAGCCCGGCGCGGGCGCGGAAGTGGGGAGGCCTCGCCGTGGGTGTCGGCCGCCCCTGGCAGGCCGCAGCCTGGGCGCCCCGGTCTTAGCTTCGCTGGGGAAACTGAGGCGGCGGGGCGGGGAGGGGCGCGTCCAAGGTCACCGGGAAAGCCGGGAGGGGCGCCGCTCGCGGGCCGGCGCGGGCGTGCGAGGAGGCCGGGCGAAGGTTTCGTCCCCGCCGAGGCCGCCGCCTTTGTGTGCTCACGCCGCCGCCGCCGCGGGCTGGCGAGTCAGCCGGGCCGCCGGGCGGAGCCGCCTCCAGGCTGGGCCGGGGCTGGCACGCTCGAGGCGGGGAGGGGGTGGGCAGAGCTCAGCGGGTCTTTAAGCTCCGCGCGCTGGCCGGACGCGTGGCCGCCGAGGCCTGCGGCCGAGCCTGCGGCGGGCGCCTGGAAACAGGTTCCTGAAGCCCAGGACTCGGCGCAGGCCGCTTTTCACGTCTTGACCCGTCGAGGGAAAAGGGAAGAGTTCAGAGCCTTGGTAGGCGTTTTCTTGGGGTGTTGGCTTTCGTGTAACTCCAGCCCCCTGCCCGTCGACTGTCACGGCCATACCTTCCTTCTTCTGCGCCACTTTTCTTGGAACCAGACCTGGGGTCTCCAGCTCTGTGGTCCTGCCCTCTGTGCCTTAGTGGCCGGGAAGACTGAAGCGGTCTGCCCAAGGTCACAGCCTCGGTTCTCTGCCTACAGAACTAGACCTTTGAACTCAGTGACCAGGAGCTTGGGGGCCCACTGTTATGAAAGATAGAAAAGTTGAAGGGAATCGTTTGGCTTTGTTTTTTGAGGGGTTGGGTTGGTTTCCCCTATGAGTTTGAGAGTATTCGAATAGTGCTACGATCTGTATGGCCTGAACTTGAGCTTCCAATTTGGACTCAGATCTTGCTTTAGTGGAGTGTTTGTAAACCTTTCACATTCATGACTCCCCTCCATCCCCAGCCTTTTTTACACATTGTTTTTCTAATTGTTCTCACCAAACAAATGTCCGCTGCAGAATGTTAATGCTGCCTTCCTACTGTAGGCTCTTTTTATGAGCTATATGCATGTTTATGCTTTGCACATAAAAAGAAGGGGCTTCCCCCCCCCTTTAAGAATTCATACATTAATATTTTCAGTCATCACATTTTGAGGTCTTCTGTGTGACAAGCTTTTGCTTGGACGAAAATAGGCGTGATACAGGCCCTGGTGGAGTTGAGGAGCCAGAGTGGAGAGAATGAGGGGTATTCCCCAAGGTTGACACATCAAATGGGGCTGGAGAGGTAGCAGGAACTAGAATACAGAAGGTCTGTGGTACACCTCCACAATGAGGAATTCAGGATTTATCTTAAGGCCAAGTGGGAAATCACTAAATTGAGTTCTAAAGAGGGAACTTATCAGGGTTAGATTTGCGTTTTAGAAAAACCACTGTTCTATGTGAAGGATGGTTAGAAAGGTGGACAAAACTAGTTGCTTCAGGACCAGTTAGGAAGAGAGAAGGGTAGCTTGGGCCAGGGTAGTGAGTAGGGGTGTTCCCAGGTGGTGCAAGTGGTCAAGAATCCGTCTGCCAACGCAAGAGATACAAGACACTTGGGTTTGATTCTTAGGTCAGG